GGCGTGCCCCAAAACTACCCGCGCCCGCTTTAGAGTACTTTGGAGGCTTTTTCTACCTTTGCAGGAAAAGCCTCCAAAGTGCTCTAAACCGGGCGCAGGTGGTTTTGAGGCACCCCCACCAGGGTTCTGATGGCTTCTCCTGCACCATCAGAGCCCGGGGGGGGGTGCCCCAAAACCACCCACGCCCGCTTTAGAGCACTTCGGAGGCTTTTCCTGACTGTGCAGGAAAAGCCTCTGAAGTGCTCTAAAGTGTGCACGGGTGATCGTAGTGCGAAAAAGCCCCATTGGAACCATTGTTTTGCGATGGGTAAATCGATCGCAAAAAACCCATCGTAAAGTGATTTCATCGTAAAGTGGGCAACCGTCTAGCGAGGCACCACTGTAATGTGGTGATGTATTATTTCACTTCTACTGACTGAAAATGGCTATTATAACATCCATGATTCTCTATACCAGTGGTTCTCAACCCCAAATCAAACCCAGATGTTCTTGGACTGCAGTTCCCATAAGTCTTCACCACCAATTGTGCTGGCTAGGGTTTCTGGGAGCTGCAATCCAAGAACACCTGGATTATCCAAGTTTGGGAACTATTGCTCTCTATACCAAAAACCAGCCAAGTCAGCATTCATCATACAGGTATTTCATTTTCAGTTTCCAGTTAATACCAACATGACTGTTGCCCCAGGTCACAGTGCTATAGAGGCAAACTAGTTCCTCAAGTCTATACAGACCTCTTGGTCAAGATTTTCTGCTCAAAGCTGTTGGCTTTTCCAGGGGCCATTACCAAGTGATTACCAACTGATGGCAATCTTGCCCCCTGCTCAGCCTATAGTGGGCTGCATTGCCTTTTCCCAATAAGAACAATAGCAAATTGAAATCTTTTTCCGTGTTTTTGTTTTTAAAAGGGTGCAGGGAGTTGTGATACGATTTAAACCATATCACAACAATTTTTGGAGACTGCCAGAAACAGTTTTCAATTCATGATGTTACTTTTGGCAGGGAGGAACATACAGGTCATAGAAATGGATTGTGCCTTCCTTGCCTTAAGCTGTCATAGCCTCTATGAAGCACTACTTAATGTTTCTTGTCCTAAATTATATCACATCATTTAAGTGGGGAGTGTAGGAGAAATGATCATGTTGAAGTCTTTGGAAGAAATACAGGATTTTAAAATAAGTATTATTACTGTTGATAATCTTTAAGTCAATATTTAAGCTTCTGACTTCTTGTATTTCAGAAGTTTATTGATGAAGAACAAAACACAGTATCTCAGTAGCATTTCCGATGTGAAAAAACAAGATGAGGTTTGAGGCAAACAATAGTATCTCAGAAACTTCTGATTTTTTGGAAGAAGCACTCAAGAAGTAGCATTTCCGATGTGAAAAAAACAAGATGAGGTTTGAGGCAAACAAACTATTGAAATCCACCAGTAAAGCAAATATTGCTTCCAGTACCTTGTCTAATAAGATAGTCACTGAAATCCAGGAGAGTAAACTTAGACCTTAAATCTCCATAGCTGTTTGCTTCTTAGTGTTCCCCTTACCTCTAAGCTGTCACTGCCATCAGCTTCTCTGTCTATAATGTCGAAGATATCTTCATGAATCTTTTCTCCCTAGAAGACAAATTACAAACCAAACCAAAGATTTATCCTATATTTCACTGTAAATTTCAGTGTTAACATGTTTCTATCAATAAGGCACTGATGAAGGGTTACTGGTATCCAAGCCCAGTTAAAAGGAATCAAGGCATGTATGCTATTAATTTATGGACTCTTACCTGTGAAAAACCACTGGCCCAGTTGTTCCCAGCTCCACCACCATGCTCAGACAAATATATATTTTCTGGGTTATACAAGTTGGCATATGGGGAGTTCAGAATTGAATGAATCACTCGTGGTTCCAGGTCTAGGAGAACAGCTCGGGGTATATAGTGCTCATCATCTGCCTGTTAACAAGGAATGAAAACATCCTGAGCAGCTTACAGAGAGGGTTCCAAGATTGCTTTACCCAGTCATCTGATTGCAAGTTGAAGCCTGCTGCACATACTACTACCGGAGGGGGGGGGCACACTGTGGTTGCTCCACAACCATGTTCTCCTAGCTTTAGATTTCCTTAATCCTTCTGAACTCAATGCTGTAAGAAAAATGTTAAATAGTGGACAATGTTTTGAGTACACCAGTGACAAAGCTACCAATAATCCCAAAATGATAGCAATAGGTAGGTAGTTCAACAACAGCAATCTTAGAGATCCCCCCTTCCCTTTTCTCCTGCTAGCAGGCAATGGAAGCAAGCAAGGCTCAAGCTGCAGCTAGGAATCATTTTACTAATGGCAGAAGCAGCAATCAAGGGTCTGGAACAGTTACAGAGAAAAGATGGGGTCAAGGGCTGTTGAAAGGCCATTAGCAGGCAACTGAACCAAGAAGTGGTTCAGTGCTACTGTGAACATTTAGTTATTTAAACCTATAAAGGGGCTATGCTATGTAGGAAAAGGAAGAGAGCAACCAATTTAAGTTATTAATTACATATGCCTACAGCATCTTTTAACTTCTTAGCATCTAACTTAATGAGGAAAGCAGCAGGATTCATTACAATTGGTTTAATAGTCTGATCTCAGGGGAAATCAAACAGAATAGAAAATGAGAAAATGAATTAAGAGAAGGGTTCAAATGACAGTTTGTATCTACATGAAAGGATTACTCCTATAGCCAATTCTGATATAGCTCAGTGGACTGAAGCTTCTGGCTGTAAAGACAAGGGCTGGGAGTGTAAATCTTCAGTGCTTCCCAGGAGAGGAACTAGCTAGCTGAGATCAGCTAGAACACTGGTTCTTAATCTTGGGTTCCTCAGGAGTTTTGGACTGCAACTCCCAGAAGCCTTCACCACCAGCTGTCCTGACTGGGATTTCTGGGAGTTGCAGTTCAAAAGCATCTGAGTAACAAAGGTTAAGAACCACTGAGCTAGAACATAGCTACAGTGGAGGTATTGAACACAAATAATCCAGCAGAAGAGAGTTTTAGGAAGTAATTACATAAGTATCTGCCAATGGTAAGAGCCAGAAACATCAAATCAACTGCACTCATACTTTTTCCCTAAGAAGGAGGACAAACTATGTAGTAGAGATGCAAATGACAACTCTCTTTGGGTGAAACAATTTGCAATTTCTGAAAGAGAGAAAAAAATGGTTTAAAGCAAAGTTACAGTTGCGAATATATGCCTCAAAAGCTGTAGCATTCAAACCTCAGATCAACTCTTCTCTTGTTTAAATCATGGACACAGTGATGCATTCCTTTTGTATTTCTACCCCCAATTACCGGCGAGATGTACTGTTTGATTCCCTGAGGATTACAAAAAAAAACAAAACCCTCTTACTGTTGACTTAGTCAACTTAATACAGCAAAACTTCCTGGCCCTCAAAAAGGATCAACTGGTTGATATTATGTAAGTATGGATAGGACTGTGCTGAAAACCTGCTGTTTGTAGATGCTGACATTTACAAAATCCATGTTTCGCCTCAGTTAATCCACAACATACATGTAGGGAATAGTGCAGCCAGTGGGTTTATGCTGTAGTATTTACTTGGGGTAAATTTTAGGTCACAAATCAACCCTCCTCATAGGAAGAAGTCTGCCTATGAGGGGGGTTGATTTATGACCTGAATTTCCTTGGTTTGGGGAATATATCTTCAACCATGACTCTGTTTTAAACAGAAAGTTCCTTCCTTTAGAAAAATTTCCCTTTATTCTCAAAACATAAACCTTGCAGAACATGGTAGTACTGAAAGGAAGAACTTAAGCAGTGAATAATAATAAAAAGGATTGCCAAGAAGGGAGAAAAACCCACAGAATTCTCATCACTAATCTCTATGAGGGAATCTATAAATACACAATGGCTGTAGAAGTCAGAAATGGCTGTGCAACGAGAAGTGTAAAACGAGCAATGTAGAAAGGAGGGGCATTCCCAACGCCATTCACTTTATCTAGAATCAACTTCTTGTGCTATGCCTCACTTGGATATTTTCCTATCAACAAACACTACATAGAAACTGAATTGCAATTATGCTCATTTCCCAAGTTAGAGAAGAGCCTCCCTCAGCAGGCCTCAACAGCCCAGTAGGCATATATAGGGAGATGTTCTCTTTCACCTATATAGGCATATATAGGGAGATGTTCTCTTTCAGAAGTTTCCTTTAACTAATGGCAACCCTATGGATAAGTGGCCTTCAAAATATCTTGTCCATAACAGCTCAGCTCAGCTGTTTAAACTCAAGGCTGTGGTATCCTTTATGGAATCAATTCATCTCACATTTGGTCTTCCTCTTTTCCTGGTGCTTTCAGATATAGGAGTCAAGGCCTAGTCTAGCAGATCTCCTGTTTATGGAACCTTCATGACAAAGATGCAAAAGAAGCATGATGTCTACATATTAGAGCCCTGATTGGAAGCACACTACACTATAATCAAAAAACACTGTCTACGATTGTAAAATACTTTAGCTGCTTACACACCACAGAAGTTGAGGGATGGGCTATACTAAACATGCCAGTTTCAAACTTTCTGATCCATGAAAGCCACTGTCTAAGATTGTAAAATACTTTAGCTGCTTACACAGCACAGAAGTTGAGGGATGGGCTATACTAAGCATCCCAGTTTCAAACTTTCTGATCCATGAAAGCATTTATAAGAACTTCAATGGTTTCCTCTAATTTTGAAGGCCTGTAATTCAAAAAATATATCTACTCCATCATTTTAGAAGAGGAACAAATCCTAAGAGGAAAATAGTCCTAAGCCCAAGAGAAAGCCAAAGGTACAGTACAATCAGTTAAATTATCAAACATATACCGGTACTTTATATTTCCGAAAGCAATGCACATTTAATCTTTTGGAAAAAAACGAGAGGCAGGCTGCCCACTATAAAACTGAAAAATACGGTACTTTATATTTCCGAAAGCAATGCACATTTAATCTTTTGGAAAAAAACGAGAGGCAGGCTGCCCACTATAAAACAGAAGAGATCAGATTACCTGGTAGAAAAAAACATCTTTGCGGTCAGTACCCTCAGTGGCAAACTCTTCAACAATACCCTCGGGGCTAATGCCATGTTCTGCACAAAGCTGTTTCCAGAATTCAAACCCAACTGCAAAGAAAAACACATGAAAGAAGAGTATCTGCACCAGTTGAAGGCGACAGGTGGCACCGGTAAGGAGAAACGAGGAGGGATTTACATTCCTAACGCGGCCCCGTTGAACGTTGGTATTATCACCATTATTTCTGGCATCAGAAATGGTCCTCACTCTCCGCCTGCAGCGCTCAATACAGTACCAGCTTTGCCCCATTTCGCCCGGGAGTAACAACTGAGGCACACGAGACTGCTCGAAAAAGCTTCGCCTCCACCTTATTACCGACCCCTTCGCCTTTTTTTCTCCATTTTTTTCTGAAACCCAAAGTCGCTTCCCCCCCCCCAAGAAATACGACCCCACAGCTAACTGCGGCTCCTTGAAAGCGCCTCCCCATCCCAGGCACTTCCCTCCACCCTCTCCCCTGGCCCTCACTTTGGTTGCCACACTGTCCCAGTTGAAGAGTGATGATCTCCCGCGGCATGGCGAAGGCGGCTCCTCGCGACGGGCGTCCACACCTTTGTCAGGGATACTCCCTTCCCGGTTGGAAATAAAAACGGTCCCAGCGAACTCCTCTTCGCCTCTTCCCGCCGCCTCTCTTCGCGGCCTAGAAGCCTTGACAACTCGCATGCGCGGAAGCAAAAAAAAAAAAAAGGGTTTGCGGGTTAGAGCGCGCGCGCCTGTCTTTTGGGGGATTATGTTTTCCGTACAAGATGGCGCCGCCCGTCCTGTGGCGGCCTCCGCAGTCTCCCGTGTGGGGGCGGCCATAGCAGTGCGCGTGAGATTATGGTAGCGGATCCTGGTTGCCCCTGTTTCGGCGGTAGCGGCGGTTGGAGGCGGCGAGCGATGATCCTCGGCCTCCTTCCACCGGTCTCCCGGTGACGCTGGGCAGGAGAAGAATGGAGGCGGGAGCCGGGTGGACTGGCGGCGGGATTAAGAGCACCAGCGGCGGCGGCAGCAACAGCAACGACGGCAGCGGCGGCGGCTCCTCTCTCAGCGAGACTCCTCAGGCCCCGTCTTCGGAGCGGGAGCGCCGAGTGCGCACCTTGAGCGCCGACTTGAGGAGCCGCTTCGGGCCTTACGAGCCGGCGTTGAACGCCCTGCAGGCCACCCTCGTCTGGGAGCGGCCGGCCAGGAGCGCTCTTGCCTGGGCGGGCGCCCACGCGGCCTTCGGGTGCGCAGCCTTGGCAGCGGGGCCGGGAAGAAGGAAAGGGGGGCGCGGGATCCGTGTGGGGAGCGGGAGGAGTGGGCTGAGGGGCCCCCGAGTGAGAACGCCTCGCTGGGAATGGGAAGCGGGCTCTTTGTCGGGAGGGAGGCTTTCTCCTCCTCGGGGCTTGGCACGGTCTGCTTTGGAAGGGGATCAGTTAATGTGGGAAGATTGAGGCGACGCGGCCAGGCATTCCCCTTTCTGAGGAAAACTGGCCGCTTTTTGGTACCGGGTGCCCTCTTTTATAGGAGCGTTGGGATCCCATTGCATCGTAGAACATTCAGGGCCCACAGGTGATTATTGGGTGTGCCCAAAAGCAACTCCCACCCGCTCCTGTTCCTTGATTTAGTTTTGCAAAGGAGGGCAAAACTGGCACAGGAGAACTTTTCCCAGCTGCAGGAATCGTCTTGCCCTTTCGTGATTCCTGTCCCCTGGTTACCTGGGGAAGGTGGCAGAGGTTTGAATTTCCATCACTTTGCTGCAGCAAGGTTTAAACATGCAAGTTATGATTGTATTTATCAATCAAGTAATTTGCGTAATGAAAAAATAAGACAATAGTTTAGTTTTTCCGTAGGTCATCCATAAAAGATCAACATATAGTTACAGATGGGAATCTAAGGTCTTTCTTACTTCAGTGTGTTTAACTGGGTAGTTCTGTGGTGGGTTTGTTTCTTCCAACATGCCCTTCTCTTTAAGTGAATGAAGATAATTCTTTCTCAAGCTTGCAATGGATGCAGCTTCTTCACAACAATATTTGGCTAATCCCTAAAGAAAAAGTACGCAGCTTTTGTTCACGGAGGGAACAAGCAAGTCTTTAAATTGTATGGCAAAAACAAAAAGATCCTCTGAGCTCATGTGTCATCTGGTGGGTCATTGCTGAGTGGCTCTGCCTCTCACTGACTTAACTTAGTCCCTGCTTGTTGACATGAGCCGAGTGGCTGAGTATCTTTTCTACATTTAATAGAGTGCAGCTATTCATTAGTGCTCAGTTCAGGCTTGCCTTGACAGAGTTACCAACTCTGCAGAATGCATAGTCATTGATGTTAATGTCAGAATCTAATGAACAAGAACTTCATTGTTGGCTATTGTACACGGAGCGCGGAGGGAGCTGTCAAAATCCGTTGTCTAGTGAAAATCGGTCTGCGAAGCAGGGACCAAACATTGTCCAGCGAAATTCCCCCATAGGAATCACTGTTTTGCTAATCGCTATAGCAATCGCAAAAAGCCAGTGTCTAGCGAAAAAACTGTCATGCGGGGTAACTCTCTAGCGAGGCACCATTGTACTTGAGTGGAGACAGCATAATATATTTTTTGAGACAAAGGTTGTAAAGAAGAGGAAATGTGTTCATGTTTATCAGAAATAACTAAGCTGGATGTTAAAGCATAAAAACAAAGATGTGGGCAGAAAGGGGTCTTGTTGAGAAAGATGAAAAAGCTGCTGCAGAAGGGTCCTGGGGCTATCTTTGTTCAGAAAACCCATACATTTAAACAAGAGGAACTTTTTAATGGGCTGCTAGCAGTAAGTGGAGTTCCCATCACGGTGCTGGATGGTCTTAAAGCTTGATAGCTAAATATTTGTTAGGAAAAATTGGTCTAGTGAATGCTGTTGGGGAGGGAGTAGTTTAAAGTGTCTTTGGTCTTCAGCCTCCTAGGGCAGGTTGTAAGAAAAGCATTATTTATTTTGAGTATCTGCCATTCTGTGACCCTAAATAAACTGTGGTTTTTTATTGTTTGTTTTTTATGTATTAACAGTTCCAGAAGAAATTATATACTGACTAGGTTTGTTTTCCCTCAGGTTCTTTGCCTTGACATCTTTACATCTAATATTCTTGGTTGCTTTCACCCTGATACTAATAGTGTGTTTAGATCAATGGAAGAATAAAATCTGGCCAGAAATAAAAAGTAAGTTCTTGTCTCTGACATGTGAATTTCAGCTTTGCATTCCTCCCTTTTTTAGTAACTGAGCTCAAAGCAAGAATCGTAAGTTTCCTTACTTAAAGCAGTGAGTAAATATAGGAATTTTATAAGCTGAGCTCCACCCTAATGGAAAATGACTTGGGAATGGGGCTGGTGGTGTAGGAATATACATGCTTGGATCTCAGCTCAAAAATTCATTTTTTATCTTCCAGTACTTGAAAAAGATGTTGTATTTTACTGTTAGCAATAAATGTTGCATTTTTCTTTAAGAGTGGAGAGATACTTAGCTCATGTTCAAGTACATGAGCCGACTGAACAATTAACTCTGGACACATTCTGTGTTGTCATCTTTTGGTCTGTGCACCATGTAGTCATGTGAACAGAGCCATAGTACAATTTCTTACCAAGTTAGATGTAGGAAAATGCACACTCTTTTTGTTAGGCTGCAGTAATAATTTCTGAGCCAGAAAAATATACTGTACTCAGAATGTGAAGAGTATTACAGAAGATTTTAAATGGTAGACATTATCCATAGACAGAAGGAAGACAGTTTGCTATGTGGTACTTTTAGTTATAAAAACTCTAACAACTAGCCTCAGCCTGGATCCTTAATGATTTTATATTTCGAATCTGTTGGAGGAACCAGAATAATAGAAAACTAGAAAGAAACCAAGCTAACTGACATGGTGCAGTTAGCTAAGATGTTGTTAGCTAAGATGTTGAAAAATAATATTCAAGTTCTTGCCCATCTAAGGACAACACTCCATGATCTTGGGAAGTCACTGGGCACATGTAGACAGTATAGTAAGCTTATATATTGTATTTATTGTGAAATATTATTTCCCAATCATCCAGCTGCAATTCTGCATGAGTTATACAGGAGTAAGTGGGGTTTAACTTGGAGTAGATATATATAAAATTGCTCTGTAAATATTGTAATTGATGTCCCAGAGTTTTTCTAGCTACTGTCACAGAACAGTAAGATATTCTTGTGGAGCTCATTCAAGAGTACAGTATGTGTCTTCCATGCTTTTTCTCATAATAGTTCACTTAGAACTTGGAGATGACACAGATAAATTAACATGTTAACATATTTATTAGTTTCACTTTCACAGGAAGAAAGGCAGTATAGATATGAATAATAAAAATTGAGTGTCATTAAGTCAATTCTGACTTATGGCAGCCTTTTCCCAAGTTTTCTAGGTAGAAACTGTTTTACTTTTCCCTTCTTTGGGGAGCATTCTGAAATTGTGTACCTTGCCTAAAGCCACAAAGGCTGGCTCTTCTGGGATGCACAGTGGGGAGTCAGACTCCCAACCTCTGGCTCTGCAGCCAGGTATCTAACTAATGAGCTATCCACCCAGCTCATAGAAATGAAAAACAAACAAATGAATAAATCAGATCAAGGAAGAAGAAGCAACTGATGTAATGCTTTAAAAATAATGCTAACATTTTCTAAGTCTTAATTACTTACGCCATATCTGTGAGTCTTCACATCTCCTGCCCAGAGAGAAGCACCCATGCTCCAGTTTATCAGAACTATGTTTATACAAGAGAGTCTTAACTTTGGTGTGTTCAGTGTTTTGGGCTACAAGTCTCAGAAGCCCTTGCCAGCACTGCCAAGGAGCAGAGTTGTTGGCCGTCTGTAGCCTAGAGGAGAATAAAACTAAAGGAGATCTGAGCAGTTGTTTGTTAATCCTATACTTTCTGGCAAGGTTTTTAAAATAGATTTCTGTTGAAGATATGCATTTAAAAGTGGTCAAAGAAATTGTCTGTGAAGACTTATTATTGTGGGATGTATATTGATGTGTGTCTCTTGGAGTGAACAGATATGCATCATTCCTCAACCTAGTAGTTTTCACATATGCTGTGAAATCATCCCTAGCTAACAATTGCATTTTGGGATTTGTACAATCTGAAGAGAAATTGGGGAGTATTGGGGAATATGTCCTGCCACATACAAAAATGGTAAAATGGGGAAGGCAGTCCTAAAGCAAGAAAAAGAGCACTTTTGATGTAGCCAATAACGTGTGCTATTGAGATCAGTAGCAATGACCTAAAGAATATTCTGTGAACTGCAGTTTATTTTCAAAATAAAATTTAATTTGAAGATTAGTAATGCTTAAATTTGACAAATTAAATATCTCCAAGTTTAGACATTAACAGCAATAATTTAATCTCCCAGCTTCTAATTTTTAACAGCTACAGGTTAATTTTCAGATCTAATATACCAAGCTCTAAGCCAACTTTCTTTCAAAAAGCAAGGATGTGTTGAAGGATGTTATATATCTGAGTTGCTCTTCACTGCACTTTGTAGATAGATAGTAATCTTCCATTTGGATCAAGATACCCTTGGGTAGGAACCATAACATTCACATGAGAAAACAGTACTACAGTGGAAGAATCGTCTAAGGAATGTCTAGATGTATGCTACTCCTTTCTTTAACTTCTGTTACTAAAAAAATAAAAGAAATTTGTGTGTTGGAAGTTATTAACTGTCATTAATGAGAACAGAATTGATGTGTTTATAGATAACTGTAGACATGGCAAAATATGCCACAAAATTAATCAGCCTGCCAGTTGTCTGTCTCTGTTCCAGACCAGCCAAATGAAATAGAGAAGAGCAGAACTTTGTAAGCTTAAGGCTGTTTCAAAGGGGGAGTGAGCCCCAGATCTTTAAAATTGTCCCAGTAGTGTCAGATGATAAAGAGCAAGCTACACAGTCACTTTGGAATTGCATTGACTCGTTTGGACTTTGACTGGGCCACAGCTAAAACACTCAGAGATTAAGTGTTCTTCCTAGACATGTTAATTGTCCACAACTCCTAGTCGAAATATTAATTGATATGGCCATCATCCCCATTGGGCAAATGTAGAACACTCCACATCAGAGCTGCCATTACTGACATTAGAAGATCTGCTGATGAAGAATAATGTATCTATCTTTAAAGTACATAAAATAAGGTAATAACTGATTTTACAAAAATGGGATCGCAAGTTAGGACAAAACATTACATTCACAGTTTTTTCAGTTGTTGTCAGTAGTCAATGTGCACTTCATTTGCAAGTCATCTGCATGTTTTAATTAAGAAGCTAAGTGTGTGCCCAGGCATTTTTCTCATGGCTAATCCTAATATGTCTTCAATGTTTTAGTAACACGGCCTGATGAATTAGAAAATGAAAGGTATGAAAGATTTCATTCCCTTTTCTCTTACATATTCTCTGTGCTTGTGTGGCTAAACTATAATACTTTTAATTAATTTTAATTTAATCACAACGTTATTGCCAAGAAATGTCTCTTCAGCGGCAGGATTGAAGAAAAAACATTTTCTTTCTGAATTGTTGTTTCACCCTTGGTCTTTCCTCACATGTTGTAGTTAAGGGTACAGGCTTGTGCTTAGGTGAAGGGTAAGACTGCTACTCCAAAGCAAGTCTCAGAATACAATATCATTAGGATTATTGTGTAAGTTACATTAACCTTAAATTCTGCATGCATATGATTCTGTCGGATTTCCTTCTTTCCCTAAGAAACAGTGCCCACTCTTTTTGCTGCTCTTTAATCACTTTTAGTCACTTAATGTTGACTAATTCTCCCTTAACATACTTTGAACAGCCTAATCGTGAATAAGAACAGTTGTATGTACAGCAAGCAACCTTCAATTTCAAATTCTTTAGCTTATTGAAAATAATTAAGAAAAATCTTTCTTACTTCTCGGAGATTTGTGTGCAGAAGGGCTCTTTATAATGGGTTCTTTGTGTTGTAATGACCATTCTGATTAAACAAGTATGGGTTCAAAATGGAGAAGAAGGCAGGAAATAATGTCCATGTTGAAGGAAGTCAGCAGAGTGCAGTAAGTCAGAGATGCTTTGTTTCTCCTTTAAAACACAAACATGAATGTACTTTGTGGAGTTCATCTGTGAAGGTGGAATAAGAGGAGAGCCATTTTAAAACTGCAATAGGAGTTTTACAAAACAGATCTGCTTCTTTGTCTTTTATTAACAAACTTTAAAACCTTTTTTCTTGTCCCTCCAGCTGGGGCTGTGTCCACCCTCGACTGCTGAGTGTGCCTGAACTGTGTCACTATTTGGCAGAAGGATGGGTCACAGGAGACAGCTTCATGAGGAACCTATTAGGCTTCAAAAGGCAAAATCCTGGCAAGGTGAAAAGCCACACCTACTATTGTCACCAGTCTGGTAAAGGGTGGGAGCAAGTGGGAAAGTTAACCTAAAGCAGATCTGTGGGAATAGTGGCTGTTTAAATGACTACTTATGAACTAGCAGGAGAATGCACACTGAAAATATTTAACTGTGTACATAACAGATGTACTGTACTTTCTGTGCTGATAGGGGGCTCCTGAGGATTGAAAGAGAGGTCCAAAGGGAGGACAACAGTGGAGGAAAGGAATATATGAACAGGGAGAAAATACTGAAACCATTTGGTTTCTTAAAGTGTACAACAGACCAGCCTTGCTCAGTTCTAAAATGTTTGCTCTGATTTGGTCAACACTGCCTAGGCTCTGAAGACAGTTGGAGCTCATGGACTGCTCCCTACCTCATTCCACATCCATATTTATACGAGGTTTTTTTTGTGCAGAATTTCTGCTTTGGTCTCTATTCCCAATTTATCTGTTTCCTAGCATTGATTAAAATGTGTCTGTGTGGTTTTGACTCATAGACAGTAGTTTGCTCACTTCTCTTAATTCAGTTGAAACTGACATTAGATTTTATTTTTCCAGTTCTGCCTTCTAGCTTGTGGTGTCCTCACATTTCTGACTGTGTTGGGCCAGTACATTCCAGGTGTCTGTCTTGCTTATCTAACAAGTGAGTAATTGTATGGCAAGGGGAGGACTGGGCAACAGAACACCCTTCACTTAGTAGGGCAAGTTACATCACTTGCTTTGATAGCATGGTAATTTGTGGATTTAACATGCCATCCTAAAGATTGTCCTCTCTGTCCCAAATGCCTTCTGGATGTTCTTACTGAGCATCAGCCCTCTGATCACCTGTTCTTCCAGTGCTTGCCCTCCTCCTGTGGCCGCTTGCTGTGTACCACCACCTGGGTCAGCGCCTGTACATCAAACTGGAGCCAGCTCTGCAGCGGTTGGACTTCAGTGTTCATGGCTACATGATGTCTAAGCATAAGGAGAGGCAGTGTGAGTTTGGTTAGATCATGTATCAATTCTGAATCACGAATGGGAGGGTGTTTTTTCATGCCGTTTTTTGCATATTAGATTCTTATTCATGACCTGCTCTTGCTGATGACATGAGGAACTTGGCTCCTGAGTTTGGATGACAAAAAACAGAATGAGTCAGTTGCTATCTTGCAATGCTCTTCCTATTCTAATGAGTACTTCTTCCAGTCAAGGAGTAATTGACTCTCAAATACATTTTCAACACAGAGTTCTGATCATTGCAGTCCAGATTAGGGGACAATGATTAGTTGTCATTCTAGTTCTTGCTGTGCTTATCCCTGGCCTCTGCAGCCTCTAGTTTTCAGTACTAAAGTATTATCTCTCAGTAATTTTGGTCAACACCTGTTTTTTCCCCTTCCCTTCTTTCTGGATGCACTGCTTCAATTTGTAACCCCTGTTCTGGATTCTGATTCCTTGGCAGTGCGACACCAAATGCTGAGCCAGCATCGTGCTACCACTGATGGGAGTGATAGTGAAGAAGAACTTGCTGCTTTCTGTCCCAAGGTAAATGCAGCACAATTCTTGCTAAAATAAGAGGTACTGCTAGGATTGGGGTGCAACCTGGGACCTCATGTTTTCCTAATTAGAGAGGTTTGGCATCTCCTGGTGGCTCTAATCTTAATTGGAATGCGATGTTGCTTTTGTAGTATCATTGGATTTGTCTTCAAAAGTTGTTTCTCTGATTCTCAGAAGCAGATTATGTTTCTGCCTTCTTTAATAAGATGTGGAATAATGGCATTGTCTTACGCCTCATAGATTGCATTTAAGAGAGAGCAGAGGTGAATGATAAACCTCAAACAACCATCAACAAAAATACATAATCTTTCACCCTTACTAAGGTGTCTGAATAATTTTTTTATGAGATTGAGACAACATGTGTACTTGAATTCCTGTTGGTGTGATTCACAGTGTTAGATTAAATTGACTGTGCATATATATCATGACAGTATCTGTATGCAAGTGGAATTTTCCAGAGGGGAGTAATATGTAGCAGAAAAAGAGTATTATGGCACTCTGGTCTGCTCCAGCACAAAACCAACATGTTCTATAGCACCTAAATGTGTTTTACTGCATTGAATGTGTTTTGATGTTGTATTCGCGAAGGCTTTCATGGCCGGGATCTAATGGTTGTTGTGGGTTTTTCGGGCTTCTTGGCCGTGTTCTGAAAGTGGTTCTTCCTAACGTTTTGCCAGTCTCTGTGGCCGGCATCTTCAGAGGACAGCAAACTATTAATATTATTATTGTTGTTGTTAAATAGTCAATCAAAATTATAAAAACATTAACTGGGTTTTGATGTTGCTTATGTTTTTGGTATTCTATTAATTGATCCTTTTAGTATTGTATACTGTTAGCTTAAGTACTATCTTTTAACTGTTGTAAGCTGCCTTGGGTCCTTTTTAAGGAGAAAAGTGAGTTAAAAATAATTTAAATAAAAGTTCTATAGCACCTAAACATTTGTGGAGTATCATCTAGTACACTGAGTCCAAATCTAAATATTCTCTTCAGTTCACATTTACATACACATAGGTGTATTTAAACACCACAGCTTTAAATGTTTTTTCTGTGTAATTTGTACCTTAAATGCTTTATTTTCACTTATTAAATATTGAGAAAGTAGTCATATAATGGTCATTTAACCCCCAAATGGGAAAAAGCAAGAAAGTTTTTTACTGACTTTTTTGAGGGGGGAATTTGCCATATTTACATTGCTTAACTACACCATATGGCTGATTATTCTTCCTCTCTCCCCTCACATCCCTACTTCTCCTTTATAAGCGCTTACAGCAACATAAGCTCACAACTTCCATGGAGATTAACCAGGATGCCTTGGCTAGCTGATAAGGCTGAGCTACATAACCATAGCCAACTACAACCCCTGGTCCTGAACATTTTGGGAAAAATTCTCATACAGTGGTGCCCCGCATAACGGGCGCCCCGTTTAATGAAGAATCCGCATAGCGATGGCTTTTTTGCGATCGCAAAAGCGGTCACATTGCAATGATTCAAATGGTAAAACATCGCTTTGCGACAATCGGTAAGCTGTTTCGCTTACCGATTTTCACATAGCGATGTTTTTTCTAACAGCTGATTGGCAGTTCCAAAATGGCCGCTGGGTAAAAAAACAGCCGCCCACAGTGTTTTTGCACCCTTTCCTCGCTTACCGGGCAGCGAAAATGGCGGCCGTATGGAGGATTTTCGCACAACGGTGAGTTTTTTGCCCATAGGAACGCATTAAATGTGTTTTAATGCATTCCTATGGGCTTTTTTGTTCCGCATAGCGACGAGTCCATATAGCGATGGTTTTTCCAGAATGGATTATCGTCGCTATGCGGGGCACCTCTGTATTTCTGAAATAACTTTTAAACTAATTTTGTTAGGGATAAGTGCAAGTAGCCCTACAAAAATTGTTTTGCGTGTAAGCCTATGCATGCAATTCATTTTGGTAACCAAACAACTTTGCTAAGAGCTTTTATTTTTATGTTTCTTTCCTAAGTTGGATGATGCAGTAGCTAAAGAGCTGACTATATCTGATTCAGAGCACTCTGATGCAGAAGTCTCCTATACTGAGAATGGAACATTCAATCTATCACGAGGCCAGACCCCCTTGACAGAAGGATCTGAAGGTAAATAATTGGAGATGGCAGATTAGAAGGTTGGTGTTGAATAACAATTAAATTTAATGGAACTGTTGTTGGACATCTGTTGAGGTAAAAACACAGAATTCAAGTTTTTTATGAAGGTGGATACGTACCATACAATATGGAAATAATATGGCCCTGCCCTTAAAAATATACCACTTGTAGGATCTGACAGAGCAAAATTGGGGTAAGAAGCTGAATGCTGAGATCAGTTTAGTGACAGAGTTTGAACTTTGGCTTCTAGTATTAGGCATCTGCTGAGGATTTTATGTTGACAGGAATGGGAAAGAACTCATCTAACTCAGAATTCAGATGGGTTATTTAATTCTTGGTACAGAAGCCTTTATTTTAAGGCTTCCCTTGGTAAAGAAGCCTTTATTTTAATTTTCCTTGTTTAAACAAGTCAGTGAGATCAAGTCTTTGCAGAAGGATTTTGTATATCTCCTTTCATACTAATAAATTTTCCTGCCCAGATCACGGATTCCTAGGGAGATTTTATAACTTGAGCAGGACAATTGCATGTTCTGTATGTGACACTCAATAACAAAGACATTAGCTATGGCCAAGGCTTCAACTGTTATTATATGCCATCAAGTCGCTCCCAACATATGATGACCATAATAAGTTTCTCAGTGTTCTAGGAATCATTTGCCTTTGCAACCCTGAATGAGTTTCGTGCAGAGATTTGGCCAAGCAGGAATTTGAAGACAGGTCTTGTTAGTCCTAATTGGACATTTTGTCGACTGTGCCACATTTGCTTCAAAGATTTAACTACCAAACTATTTTTTTTGTTCTTAGACTTTGACGGTCACAGTGACCCTGAGGAATCCTTCGCCCGAGATCTTCCAGATTTCCCTTCCATTAACCCTGAAGTTACTGGCATAGATGATGAAGATGATACCAGCATTGGCATTCCGAGCCTCACCTCCCGTATGCAGGGCCAGGAAGAAACTCGGCTTTCTCATGGCCAGGAGGAAGTAACCGCTCAGCTCCCCTTGGGTGAGCTGCCATTGATGCACAACTTCAGAGATGATTTAGCTGGCTTTGTAACCAGAGGAATGATCCAGCTGGCCTTGTCGGGAGCAGCCTCCCAGTCAGGTTCTGTGCATGGGAGCAGACGACAGCAGAGTGCCAAGGCTTTCCTCCGAACCTCCAGCTCAGAGCTAGACACAGATGCTGAAGGGGATGACTTTGAACTCTTGGATCAGTCAGAGCTGAATCAGATGGATCCTTCCTCTTCCCGTGGCCAATAAACAATTGTTTTCTCTTCCCTTTTGTGACTGTTCTGTCTCATATGTCTGAGTCAGGAGAGTCCTGTGCAGGAATAGGATAGTATCCCACACCTTGGCATATGGTCTGGCTGTGCAAACTTGGAAGATAGTGTGGATTTTAGAACAAACTACTGCAGGAGTCAGAAAAGATTGATAACTAAACCTGCTATCCCAAACCTTTTCGGCTTTCATTGCACTCCTTATTCAAAGCCAAAACGTTCTGCTCCTGTGATTATTTTTATTAAATAGGCTTTGAGGACAAATCTCAGTACTTGCTTAAGGCAGCAAAAGCCAGGCTGCAAGGATTGTCTTTAATTTAAAAATTGGATAGAGGGCATATTTTAGAATTTCTTGAGTATTAGAAGTGACAAACATCAATCTCCTGACTTTTAGGAATTAAGTTCCCGGGTCTAATCTAGTGGACCCCGTTGTTAATGTAGATTGGCCCTTGACACCCTGAGATATTGGGAACTACCTCTATCTCCGGTAAACATTTGCACATGATGACCCCACATTCATATTTTGAAATCCTGAAGCTCTAAACAGGCTCTTCTTGCACATCATAATGGCAATAATATTTTGGTGGGTTAGAGTCCCTCTTTTGCACACGTATACCACTCTTAACTAGCTGAAGAAGTTGCCAGTACTGGAAGAATACCTTTCATGTTGCTTCTGCCTATGAATATTAAAGCAGAAGCAACATGAAAAAAATTAGACTCTGGTCTCCCTCAAGCAGTCACTGAAACCTGCACCAATCTCAGAGCTGTGAATATGCTTCCTCATTAACACTCCTTGGTTTCCAAAACGGAGTGTGTTATTTTATTGCAGTTTCTTACAGGCATCTGGGAAGAGGTCTGCCAGTCTGACTTGTTCACCTACTGATGAAATGACCCTGATATTGGAATCTCTGGATGTCAAATGCTTGCAGATGGCTCTTTTTAAACAAAGCCATAAATCTATTATAGTAATCTAATCATGTAGGATTACAAATGAAAATGAACAAAGCTAGAATTTCTGGGCCTGGTCTCCCAAGATAGTTACAGAGTTTTCCAAATGATACAACATGGGAGTTCATTGAATGTTCTGGAAAAATAAGGCAGAAGCATTGTTTCCTGATTGATGGGGGCTTGGGATGAAACCTCTGCAATCTTTCACTGGTAGCACTGTTTTGACTACTTCAAGACTGAAATCAAAATGTCTTAAGAACAGATGGGGAGATACTTGCTCTTATGTCTTGGTTGCACTGTCTTCATTGCTATGAAGATTGTGCTGTATTTCTCAAGAGTAAAATATTGATGAATGATAGCTGGATATTACTCATGTTTTGATGCTGGGGGTCTGTTACTCACAATACATTTGACATTGGTCTTTTTTTCCTCCTTATTTAAATAAAACCAGCATGAGGTATTAACTGCTTCAGGAATCTCAGCCAACATCTTGGACCTGACATGAACTGAATGCTTTGTAAGACAATGACTGTAAGGAAGTACAGCAAGTTAATTTGATTCTGGTGCTCCATATCTTCCTTCACAGAACTCTAAATCCAAACTACAGTACTTAGATTTGTATACAAAACTGTTCAAAGATTGTACCTGGAAATAATTATCCTTTGTGCAAATTAACTTTGGTGATCCTTTGTGGAAAGAAGAGAGACTTGGATAAACGTTGTCCTTTTACATTTTCAGGGTTTTTTAAAGATAGTTTCCAACCTCCTACAACTTGTGAATCTGCAAACTGAACCATTTTGAACATCTGCATATCCAGTTTGGGAGCCTTCCTCTAGGTTCCTGTACTTCCAACTTAACATGCACCATCAAGGCTCAGTAATTTAGAAGTTAACAGAACTTTATGATACACTGCCTATTGTTTTCTTCACAAAGCAGCAATGTGATGTAGATGCCATATGCTGAATAGCACATTTTTGCAGAAAAGACTTAAGGGTGGTATATTGTAAATTTGAAATTGCTTGGGTTTGGTACCATTTGTGTGGCAATATCATGGTGTCTTAACTGCCTTTTTTAAGTGTTTACAAATCAGCTGATATTGTGGAGGTTTAAAGAGTTATTTGTTGTCTTGCAGTTTTTTTTAAATAAGATGTTGATAACTTTTGAGGTGGGAAACTGACATTATTTCATTAGATTTTGTGCTATGCCAGTTAGAATAAGAATTTAGTGCAATAAGACAACCATCTACACCCTCTTCATTGTATTAATAGTGAGACATTATTCTTATTTTGTCAGGTGTTTCTTTCTTCCCTCATTTGTGCAAAATAAAAGATTTGAAACAAGTCCAATTTCTTGGTTTCTTGATTGTTGCAGTTATAGTAACAGATATTTCTTTTAAGAATTTTGATGCTCATCCACAATGATAACATTGTCTACTTGCCTTAGCTTTTGCAGTTGTTACTGTATAAAACAAACCTAAAAGTACTGTAAATCCCATAGAATTGATTAGGATTGTTTACTTTTGAGAGTTACATAGCAATGCATTGTAAGTTTCCTTAAGTCAGGGGTCTCAAACATGTGGCCTGGGGGCCATTTGCGGGCCCCCAGATGATAGTTTGTGGCCCTCGCCTTGCCTGCTCCCCCAAAGCGCCCACACATCCTCTGCTGTCAAGAGTTAAATAAAAGCTTTGCCTCACTCGCCGGCTGTCTCCCAAGACAGCACCTCTTGCACCCTCCATCCAGAACTGCAGCCTGCCAGCCAGCCCACCTGTCTGTCGGCTAAGGAAACTCCTGGGCAGCTTCCTCGGGCTCTTGCTCCGCTTGGCGGAAAATCTGATGCGGCCCAGCCTCACCCAGACTCTGTCTCTAGCGGCCCTCAGGTAAATTGAGTTTAAAACCCCTGCTTTAAGTCATTCTAATGCAAACATTCTTGTTTTATTTTTGTATAATTTTGACTAAACTCAATAACCCAGTTAGGTTCCCCTTGACATTTAGTCCAGCCGTGTCCGACTAAGGCGCGGTGCTCATCCCCGTTTCCAAGCCATAAAGCCAGCATTTGTCCGAAGTCAGTTTCTGTGGTCACGCAGCCAGTGCGACTAGACACAGAACACCGTTACCTTCCTATCAAGGTGGTACCTATTTATCTACTTGCATTTGCATGCTTTCGAACTGCTAGGTTGGCAGGAGCTGGGACAAGTGACGGGAGCTCACTCCATCGCGTAGATTTGATCCTACAACTGCTGGTCTTCTGACCTTGCAGCACAAAGGTTTAACCCACAGCACCATGCCTACTGTGCAACTTGAGTCAACATTTAGAGAAGTCCATTTATTAAATTGGGCAACTCAAGTTGGGAACAATTTGAATTTAGCTTGTTTAACTTTGTTAAAATTGTAGATTTTGTAAGTAGTAAGTAGTATGTGCAAGCTTTGATCAATTTTTAAAAGTCTAATACATTTTTTAAAAACTGAATATGAAATACCCTCATTCTATCATTTCTAGGAAAACAAGTTTGCTGTGTGCTGAAGTTCAGTCACATAGATAGAGTATATTGTGTTGGTTAAGATGGAAGTATTGAAACAAAACCAGTTTTGATTGGCTGTGATGTTGATGCAACTAGCTTCTTGCCTGAGATGAGTTTGGACAGTGGGGTTCCTGCAAAGATGACATATGGACCTATATGAAATATAGATAAAAGGAAAAACAAAATGTTAAGATATTTAGACTATTTTTGGCCAGAAGCAAGCTACTTCAATATTTCAGCCATTTGCTAGATCTTTTGTACATGTGGTGGGCCATAAATTACATGCACATAGGTGCTGCTTTTATTTAATATCTCCACAGTCACAGAAAAATTCATCCTATATCCAAGTAGACACATTTTACTTGATTATTTTTTGATCTTCCTACTTTGCTTCAGTAAGCTGACAAGTGAGCAGGTAAGGCTGCTGGAGGCTGGCTCTTGAAGGAAACAAGGAAGGGTGTTTTGTTGTCCTGTTTTAATTAGTTGACTTTGTGAGGATAATAACAGTTGTGAATATTAAAAAAAACATTTAGCATATTCTAACACATTCAGAGTTGTTTGGCTTCTGATTTACAGCAACCCTATGAATTGGCAATCTCCAAAGAATGCTGTCCTCAACAGCCCTGCTCAGCAATTGTAGACTCAAGACTGTGGCTTTCTTTAGGGAATCAGTCCATTTCATAGTTGGTCTTCTCTTTTCCTGCTGCCTTCCACCTTTCCCAGCATTGGTGTCTTTTCCAAAGTATCATGTCTTCTTATGATTTGCCCAAAGTAGAATAGCCTCAGTTTAAAAATGTTTGCCTCCAGAGATAGTTAAGGCTTGATTTGATCTAGGACTCACCTGTTTGCTTTCTGGCAATCCAGATTATTTGCAAAGCTCTCTTTCAGCACCACATTGAAGTGAATCATTATTTAAAATTCTGTCAGCTTTCTTAACCTCCAGCTTTCAGACACATACAAGGTGATCAGAAATACAAGAGTGTGGATGATCTTGGTCTTGGTCTCCAGTGACACATCATTACACTTTGTATTTTTTAATCCATTGCAGTCTCCATTGAGATTAATGACTGAACCAAGGTATACCAATCCTTCACTATTTCATTGTCAGCATTAAAGTTGTGCAGTTCTTCTGTGGTCATGATTTTTGTCTTCTTAACATCCAAGTGCAGTTGTGCTTCGACACTTGCTTCCTTCACCTTCCCCAACAGTCATCTCAAATCATTGCTGCCTTCTGCCCTTAAGATGGAGTCCTCTGCGTATCTTGAAAGATGGAGAAAAGCACAATTTTTGCCATCCACTCTTGAGTTTTCACCAGAGTGAATCATCTGGGGTCGTCAGCCAACCAGGCCACCTCATTTTTCACCCCTGCACCACATCATTTATAAACAAGCTACATACCACCATTCTCAAAAATGCAGATGCTTGGAGGAACTCCACTGTCCATTTATTCCTCTCTACCTCTGCCTGCTTCCTCAAGATTCGAGCGCAAGGACAAACAGCAAGCAGATGTCACTTTCGGTCAGTGGCTGACATGGATTTCAAGAAGAAAATAAAACAAACATACAGAACACTTCTCAGGGTCAGCGTAGCACTGTAAACCTGTCCAGGATGCCCTGTTAAGATACCTGCCCTGGTCCTCCTCACTGGCACCCCTCCGGCGCGGTGACGAGGTGTGCGGCTGCACTGCGCTTTTAAACGCTTCATTTAGTCGTTCAGGGGGAAAAATGAATTTTTGTCCTTTCTCTCGTCTCTTTTTGGGAGGAATGAGGGTGGGAGAGGCACGTTCGGACTAGCACTGGCTTCATCGCGGGTTGTTTTTTTTTTTAACGTTTCTCGCTTTTGCCTCGGAAAGACAGTAATGTGACGGGAGCTGGACATGATTACCCATACCTTCCCTTCCAGCTCTGCGGTTCTAAGATGAGGATCATGTCACGTCACACATCCACGCGGAAGCCGGACGTCTGCGAAGCTACCAGTCTATGTTCCACAGAAGTTTTTTTGTTGTCCTTTTTTAAAAAGCGGCAAACTTCCGCTTCCGGGGTTTTCCGGTTGGCGTTTCCGCCGTGGTCAGGATGAGTGGAGGAGGAAAAATCCGAGAGGGCTCCGCCGGTAAGGTAGAGAGAACCGAGGGAAGGGGAGAGAACCGCGCCGTAACCAGGCCGCGGGGCGGCCTTCTCCTCACCGGTTTTTACGGTTGCTAGGCAACGCCTTGTGCACTCTCAGGGTCCCCCTAAAATCCCAGGCGTGAGGTGGTTGGATTTTGCCACTGAAGGGCTGCTTGTTGCTCTTCTGCTCTTTCCCTTTGCAAGTGCCCGATTCTGTCAGTCCCCAGTGACGCCTGCTATTTTGTAAAATTTCAGTGGGGCTGCATCGTCATTTACGTAGCTCTTGGCAGACACGCTAGCCTCACTTATCCTTAGGCCTCTTTGCTTAAAGCCCAGCTCGATTTACTTTTGCTTCTCAGGATTTGCTACCTTGTATCTTCCCTCCATTCTACAGTTCCTCAAAATTTGCAATTTTCTGTAGTGCATGTGCCTATTTCTTGCAGCCTTTGTGGGGTTGCCTCAAAGGTTGTTGTGTCACTGTTTTTATGATACCCATCACTTCTCTCTGTTTCCCTTGAGGAGCTGGAGAAGGTGCTGCTGCTATCTTGCTGCGGTACCTCCAGGAGCAGAACCGGCCTCACAGTGCTCAGGATGCTTTTGGCAACTTACAACGAGAGCATGGCCTTGGCAAGACGGTGAGAAAAGGCCTTGGAAGTGAAGATGTGGGGGCCATATTGTCCCACATTACCAAAGTGTGCATTGACCTGTAAAGGCTTCTAAGTGTCAAACAGACATGCCGTCCTCCTTCCCAAAAGCTAAACATATTCGTTGTACCTTTCAGATGATCTGTTTTATATTGGGTATCCTAGTATGGCACAAATCTATGTTTCAGAAATAAAAAACTTCAGTAGATACTGTGTGTTCATATTGTAAGCCATCTTGGATCCTCATTTTGGGACTAAGGCAATGTGTAAAAATATTAAATAAAATAAATAAAGACAGTGTTGTATGCCTAATAGTGCCATCCCATCTCTGTAGATGATGATTCATGAAACATATATTTATTTTTGAACATACTGTAGATTACAGTTTCAAATCAGCCCTACCTGTTTACTCAGGAAATGCAATGATGTTACATTATAAGCAGCAGACTGTTGCAAAGCCCACCTGTGACTTTCTCACTTGTGGGAATCTACCCTAAAGCGTTCTGTACTTTTAACAACAAGATTATTTCCATGGCTAACAGTGAATAGATACACAGTGTGATTTAGTGAACAGAATGATGTACTAGAACTCAGGAAGCCTAGGTTTGAATCCTCACTCAGTCATGAAAGCTCACTGGTAGTGTGGAACTGGTAAAACCACTTCTTAAATATCTCACATACCTTGAAAGTCCTATTAGGGTTGCTATAAGTTGGTTCCAACTTGACAGCTCATAAGAACAAGAACTAGTAAATATCAAGGTGCATTGTTAAGGGCTAATCAGTCCTTGTTAGGGACTCTACAGTTTAGGTTATTATGTCTTCCCTGATTTATAAGCATCTGGGTGTGGGCAGGAATATCCCAAAGTTTTGATACTTATTTTTATTTCCTATTAAAGATACTGTACTTCGTTATATTTTATATTATTATTATTATTATTATTATAAGTCAATCTTCTAGTAACATAACAGAAAAGAGAAAAGTAGTAATTATCTATAAATACAGTAACACTTCCAATGATTTTCTTACCTGTAGTATACTAATATTTAAGCATTTAAATGTTTAAGATACTTAGTTACATGTGCAGGTGATCTGTCCATTTGCTCTATTTCTCATATCTTTGTTCATTTGTCTCAACTTGATTTTTTAAATCTTTGTTTTAGGCTGTAGTGAAGGCGCTAGAACAGCTAGCTCAGCAAGGGAAGATCAAAGAAAAGGTGTATGGAAAGCAAAAAATCTATTTTCCAGATCAGGTGAGGGATTTACCTTTTGAACTCTGTTAGACGTATTTACTGTAGTTACTGATGTAAATTAGCTGCTCATTTTTTTAAACAAAATTCTATAGTAAACCTTCGTTCTGTGACTGAAATGAAGCAGAGTTCATTTTGTATCCCTTTACCCATGTTTTTTAAAGCTTGTACAGTTTTCTTAAATCAGCAGATTGATTTTACTGGAATTGTATTGCTCTGTATGTTTATGCCTGTTAGATGGCGTGAAGTATGTGTGATGCTGGCAGGATTTTTCAAGGGTGAGAAGTATAGCTTTCCTCCTCCATACCATCAGAACACTAATTTGGGTCGAGAAGCAGAGTTTGAGAAAGGGTAGTAGCAATTTTAACTACTTTTTAATTAGCATGTTTAGATTAGAATGATGGAATTGGAAGGATCTAATAAAGCCATCAAGTCCAACCCCATGCTCAATGCAGGAATCCAAATCAAAGTATTTCTGATACATGGCTGTCTAATTTTCTCTAGAATGTCTCCAGTGCTGGAGAGCTCACCACCTCCCAAGGTTATTTGTTCATATTGTCATACTACTCTAGCAGGAATTTTTTTCCTGATATTTCATGTTCTGCACTCTGGAATGATTGAGAACAGATCCTGCCCCTTCCGGGCAAGATAACCTTTAAATTTATTTGAAGCATTTGAATTAAATAATAATTGTCTCTCATGTTATTCATCATCCAGGAACGCTTTGGTAGTGTAAGTGACTCAGAGCTCAAAGGCCTGGACAATGAGATTTCAGAACTCTCTTGCAAAGTGCAGACTCTGCAGCAGAACTGTCGTCATATGGAGTCAGGTGTGTTCACACAAGTTAAGTCAATTTGTTGTGCTAGCCTTGTGCAGAGTACATGTGTGTGTCCAACTGAACATTTGAGCTTTTGTGCAATGGTTCAATTTGAATTGTAGCACACAACATACATGCAGTCCTACCCACTTATCAGTGCTATCTGAGCCATTATAACTAGCAACTCCTTTGCAGAACTCAAAGAACTGAAGGGCTCTATGACAACTCCAGAGATGGTTAAGGAGATTGAAGACTTGAAAAAAGATTGTGCTAACTACACAGAGAAACTGGAGCGAATTAAATCTGCTGCTAATCATATCACCCCTGAGGAGAAAGAAAAGGTAATCAAATTGCCAGGGTAAAAACTGGCAAAACCTAGCTACTTCTTAACTCTTCTAAATACCTTTTGTTGTGTCAATCATATTTAGGGGCCCTAGTCATGTTGAATGATTCACAATTAACCTTAAGCCCAGGATAAGAGACGCTTAAGATTAAAAAATGCACACAGCTCTTTATGGAAGCTGTCTAACTTTCCAACCCCATTTACAACAAGAGTATTCATACTTCCCCTTACTCTGAATTAATCTTATAGTGAGAATAAATATGTTTTGGAATTTAGGAAGGATGGATGTACACATTTAGCAAACAACCCCTTTTGTAAAGGCATTTCTATTTTCTGTTTATGAGGTCCTTGAATATAGTGTATGAATATTAAACACAAGTCCACTCACATTATAAGTGGCTACATTGCTGGCCACTTGAGTAAGGTCTAAGGGTGTAAAAACAGCTTACTTTTGCTGGTTGCAGGTATATAATGAGAAGAAGCTGTATTGCAGGGAATGGCGCCGCCGGAAGAGAATGGTAAGACAGCTCATGAGCTACACAAGAGTTGAAAGAATCCATTGTTGTGTATAGCCCCAAGAGTGATTTTGAATGCCAATGTATCATACTGAGTTTGGAAGCCAAGCACAGCTGACCCTGGTTAGTTTTTTTGTAAGAGGCTAGCAGAAAATACTGGTCATCTGAAGTGGCAGAACCACTTAGTCCAGAGTTAAGAATACTGAGTTTGGAGGGTAGTATTTTTATTCAGTATAAAGCAGCTTTCTGAGTTTAGGTTCACAATGGCAGGTGGGATTGATGCCTATCTACTTCTGGGTTTCGGGTGAGAGAGAGAGAGAGAGAGACGGAGAAGGGCGAGGCTCTCATGTAGCAGGGATGGCAGTTAGAGTGAATCACTCCAACTCATAGGTGAAGTAGACTCTGGACACGGTGTTCTGCATTACTTATTCAACAAAGTCATCCTTCAAGAGTGAGAAACAGGTGTATCTTCCTGCCACGACACCCATCAGACAAAATGTGTGAACAAATTCAGTAGTATAGTGGGGCTGATTCACTCTTTTATGATAATTTCTCCCTTCCCAATCCATCTGTAAGACTCTTCTTCTACTTTTTTTTCTCTAAAGCCAGCATGGGGCTAGTATTGTTTTGGCTGAAGACATGTTTTAATTCTTTCATCAGGCAACAGAACTACTTGATGCAATCCTGGAAGGCTACCCTAAAAGCAAGAAGCAGTTCTTCGTGAGTATTCCAGATTTACCCTATGTGGTATAAGGTTACATGACTATATGAAATGATTACAGTGGTGCCTTGCTTAACGGGCGCTCCGTTTAGCGACGAGACCGCATACGATTAACTTTTTGCGATCGCAAAAGCGATCGCATTGCGATGTTTCCTATGGGGTTTTATCGCTTTGCGATGATTGGTTCCCTGTTTCGCTTACCGATCATCGCAAAGTTATGATTTTTAAACAGCTGATCAGCGATTCCAAAATGGCCAGCGGGTAAAAAAAATGGCCACCCGCTGTTTTCGCGCCGATTCCTCGCTTAAGAGGCAGCGAAAATGGCCGCTGTATGGAGGATCTTTGCTTTAAGGTCAGTTTTAAGCCCATAGGAACACATTAAACAGGTTTTAATGCGTTTCTATGGGCTTTTTAAAATCACATAGCGATGAAATTGCTTAGCAGCGATTTTTGCTGCACGGATTAACGTCGCTGTGCGAGGCACCACTGTATGAGTTTTTCTTCCACAGTACATTAATTCAGCCAGTGTACAGAGATGTAATATGAGTATCGTACAGTGGTGCCTCACATAGCGATCGCTCCGTATAGCGATGAAATCGTTTTGCAATGGACTTTTTGCCATCGCAAGAGCGATCGCTTTGCGATGGCCCCTATGGGGAAATTTCGCTTTGCGATGATTGCAGGGAAGCGATCATCGCAAAGCCCCCATTTTCGGCCAGCTGATCGGCGGTTCCAAAATGGCCACCAGGTAAACAAAATGGCCACCTGCTGTTTTGCCTCGTTTTAGAGGCACTGAAAATGGCCGCCGCATTGGAGATTTTTCGCATAAGGTTAGTTTTTAAGCCCATAGTAACGCATTAAACGTGTTTTAATGTGTTTCTATGGGCTTTTAAAAATCGCTTAGCGATGAAATCGCTTAGCAGCGATTTTTGCTGCACCGACTAACATCGCTAAGCAAGGCACCACTGTATTTTCTTTTCCTATATTCTGAGAATTATGTTATCTTTTGTGCAGGAAGAAGTTGGCATTGAAACAGATGAAGATTTCAATGTTACTTTACCTACCAGCTGAATCAAGGGTTCATCTGATTTAAGATATATTTGCCCACTTAGCACTCGTTTTAGTTCTCTGTATTCCACTTCGCTGTTAATTTTTGAAAGTAAGTTGCATTCCATGGGGATAAGCAGACCCTGCCTACTGCACTATTGTTACTTTCTTCTGGCTCCTCTTCCCAGGTCTGTCAGGTTGCCATTTTGTTTTTAAAGTTCTTAGCCTCACTACACAGGATTACCAATAAGCATTTGTCAATGCCGTTGGGGCTGGGAGAAGGGGATACAAAGTAAATACTTGAATTATTCTGACTTTATCATATTCTTTGTGTAACTGGACTGCGTAACTCTACAGAAGGCACGTCATGCCCATTAAATCAACCCTACTCAGTTGTATTCCTCTTTAATGTTTTTTTTAAAAAATAATCAGGTCAGGAGCATAGAAGATTCACGCAAGAGACTGCAGTAGCTTTCATGTTAGAGCCTGGTTCTAAATACTGTATAATTAAATTGGGCCAGATAAGAGATGCATTGAGATGTTGGATGAGGAAAGAAAGAAAAGGTAATTTTGTTTAACCTCACTTTTTGGGGGGATAACTCACAAGTGACTTCAGGTATTAAACACTGGAAGGGGCTTCATATTAGGACTTTAATTGGAAGCGTGCGGTGATGCTTTTAAATCTAATTTGCTTGACATGGGTACAAGGTTGTTAGCTTAGCCCACTTCTGCTAGTCACATTCTCCCTATCTTTGGAAAAGATAGTCAGACCTAGAGGTTTCTAAAATGTTAGCTCTGGCCCTACCCACTCCAAAACTAGTCAGACAAAAACACCAATGTAATTGAAACATTTAGCAAAATTTATTAGAATTGCTTGTTGCTTATCATAATAAAAAAATACTTTTTAAATTTTCACGAGTGAGGTCTGTCTAGGCTAGAGTCCTTCTTCACCAACCAGCAACTGAACCAGAAAGCAATGCTATAAAGGAGAATGGCCTCACCTTTTTTAGCCAAAGAACAGAAAGCAGAAACTGCTGAGAAAGGTTAACTTGGGTTCAATGCATTATTAAAAACTAGGGATCTCAGTTAAAAAGATGCCTCCTCTCTCTGCCATATTCTTTGCAAACAAAACCTACAAACCTATCTGGATTCTGTGATACAGAAGGCAAACTGTGCTTCTGAGTAGGTCAGACAATTAGAGAAGCTGACGGTATGGCTTCAGTCACGGCAATGGTTATTGCTTCTCTTCAAGGGTAACAGAATGCTATGCAAAACAAGCCAATTTATTGCACAACTTGTTCAGGTCACAGTTCTTAGCCCAAATGAAATGCTAAGCAAAGCCATTATTATGTATGAAGTGGATATCTATAAATGAATCCAAGTAGGCAGTGCTCTGTTTTCATTTATCCCTAGCCTCTTAGGAAAGGAACTAGTATCATTTTTAAAAAACTCCATGAATACATGGATTTCTGTCCAATAAGTTGGGTCAACATGCAGAATATAGTAGGACTGAAACTTAAAATGGGGTATAGCAGCAGTTGATCTTCATGAATAAAAAGCTAATTTCTTTCCTGCTCACTTCAGGAGTTCAGTAGTACAGGCTGAGAGGAGAGTTTCAGAGGTAAACACGATCAGTAGACCCCCTAAAAAGCTTGAAGAGGAATTACTGAGAAAAACCGAGCCTGTGTGCCACATTGCTCCAAGCCATAGTATGCCTTTCCTAGGCTGTTCCTAGGTGATTAGTAGAGATGGCTCTTCAATTGTTGCAGGACACCAATGACAATGTCCCGTAGCGTCTGTGGAGAAAGAGCACAAATAAGCTGATGCTTCAGGTTAACAACATTCTTTGAGAGGGTGGAATGCCCTGACCAGCTGTCAAATTATTAAGGGAATATATGTCTGGCTTTTTCCCTGACAAAAATAAAGTAGAAGCAGTAGTCTGCTTTCATAGAGTCTCTCTTGCCTTCAACTATGCAGGCTGATGATTGGCACAAGTTGCTGTATGATGTATGATAAATGTAAACAGAGATAAATCTATGTCAGGGCCCCTTGACCTGTTTGCAAGCAAAAAGCACTGAATTTAAGGAAGGCCAGCATAAGCTGATCAGGTACATCTTTGCTGCATGTTTCTGCTAGTCACATTCTCCCAAGTTGCACAATCACCTGTGGCTTGCAGTGTTCCTCTATCCAGCTGAAGACACATGCTGAGAGCTCTTGAAAACTTGTCACAGAAATGGAGGCATTGAAAGACTGGAACAAGGAGTCCATGATACCCTGGAAAACATTGAACTTCACCTGGTCAGACACCTGGTTCTTTCCTTCATTGGGATTATCCTGGTGAGCTTTTACAATCTGCTCATAATTTCTGAAACACAAAAATGTGGCTGATGAGTTCAGGAGAAAATGCATGGTCTAACTGTGTGGTCTGTAACATCAGACAGGGAGAGCTTAATTATATTTACATGCAGAAGTACACACATTTACACAATCTTACATTTTCATGATTTTCAAAGCCATCACATCTTTCCGGAGCGTTGAAACTTCTTCCTCTTGTTTCTTCTTTTCCTTGTGTAAGAACTGAATATAATCAATGGCTGTGGAGCAGAGGGCAGAGTTTAGCAAATCTTCAAAATCAAACAGCTAACATCTGGCCATTTTGGTATATTTCTCAGCCATGTTGGACTTCAATTACAACCACTGTCCTTAGAAGGTAGAGCTAAGTGCCACTATTCAGAGAGTTTTAATTTGAAAGAAGGGGTAGAAGAGGAAATGAAATTAGCCCTGGAACAATAGGGAACCTACAAAAAATTAGACTGCTAATGGAGCATGGAGACAAAGGTGCAAGATCAAAAGCCAAAGAGACACAAATTATATTCTACTCCCTCAGCCATCAACTCACTCTTCTGGAGCACAATTGCTTTGCTTAACTTCTGGGACCCTATTGAGAAATCCTGCTGCTGGCATGTGGGCACAATTGCTTGCAAATCATCGTAGCCTTTCTGTGAAAAGAGACAGAAATACATTAAAACTCATAAAACAACACTGCCCCACCTGACAGGAACATAAGTAAGAAAAACCCAGCCAGTATGTCTGTCATCCTTTCCCTCTACTGTGTGATTGGAGTAAACATGTTTCTTTCTAGTCTACAATTCCACAGATTCCCCAACCCCCCAAATCCAGAAGAGATAAGGGACAATAATAGTGACTTGTGGCTCAATCCAGATTGTCACCTTGATGGCATCCCTCCGTTTCTGTTCAGCTTGTGTGTGAGCACGACGGCGACGATCCTTGTATGTTTCTTTATAGCTTTCCTGCTGGTTGTCAGAGTCTTCATCATCTACAAGAAAACAGTCTTAATCAACTAAGGAGCCTAAGGAAAAATGGGGAGGGGCTCTCAGCAGCTCCCAAATCACAAGATTTCATAAGGCTGTAGTCACTGAGATGAGTGCATTGTAAGAAGAAGCATTTGAAAACTAATGACACAATTCCACCTCAGACTTATAAAAGGGAATACATTCTTAAGGGCCACTCTTTATTTACACTCAGACTTTAATGAGCACCTGAGAAAGGGGAATGGGAAGTATCACAGCTGGCACCTTGCAATTTGGGTACTAGCTCAGAGTTCCAACTCGGCATGTAAAGCCAGGAGCATGGCTTCCAAAAATCATGGGCAACCAACTGGCCCCAAGCAGGCTGTTAAGCCTGATTTCCCACTATGTATTTCTCTCCCTTTGTATTTCATTCTCCCTAGCTGGTATGCTTAAATTAGTGCCCCCTATCCCCACAGCCACTCAGGAATAATGCAAGGTATACAACAGGAGCTCTGGTCACAGTTGGGAGAAAATGGACCATTTCACTGAGGGAGGAGCCAGTGGGTCATACCTGTATTTGGTACTGAAGAGGCACTGGTAGAGCCAATGCTGTTAGCTCTTGATACAATACTCCCTTTTCTCCTGCTTTCCACGAAGAGTGCTGGAGGATAAACACCAAAATATCAGGGTGCACATTCAAAATAGTTAAGTCACCCCTTTTCAGCCACTGGCATTTGCAGATCAACTGAAGAGGAAAGAAAGGATTTCCTCTTTCATCTTGCTTTTATGTGAAATAGGGATTCTGTTGGGCATCACTGAGTGCAGCTGTGCAACCAGGACCTATTCGCCATGAACTAGAGCAAGGGAGTGATAAATTTCCTATGTATGGTAAATATTCTCTATTCACAGTAAATGGAACAAAGGTTTTACAAATAAGGATACTGTAACCATACCATCCCCCCCCCCTGCAAGTGTTCCTCTTGAACATTGACCTCATGGCGACATCTCAAAGACAAGATGCTACCAGACTCCCTAGAACATGGTGGAGACGCATTGCTCACAGTGCTTCAGATAGATTTTTAATGCATCCCTAACACAATTTGGGGGTGGAGAGACTTGATGGTGACCACAAATTATGGTAAATACTAATAGCAGTCAAAAACTATAGACCCATGGCATGAATCCACCATGAAGAGAAGAGCAGTTCTAAAATGTAGGGGCATGATAAAGGCAGAAAAAGTAGCTAGAAATATTTAGCAACTGGGAAGCTGTGAGAAACAGCAGCTGTTGAAGACTTACCAGGATCTAGCCCGTTGTCACTGAAAGTGGAGTCAACCTGATTTGTTGTGCCAGAAGAAGAAAAGGGGGGGGGGGGGGAAACTTTCTTTAGATAACATGCTGGTAATAACTCATTTCAGCTATGGCTAATCCTGGATAGGTATTCACTGAAAAGTGTTTTTTTTTAAAAAATCATATTGATTGTACAGAATGGTAATTCCAACACATATGCTATGATCTCATAAGGAACAAGGGTTACTAAAGGAAAGTGGCAAGCCATGGCTTATTTACAACAATAAAACTTCCTCATAAGCTACTGGCCAGTCAACCCTTTCTCAGGTCCAAACTGCAAAATGTAACTTTTACAATGAATCAACATTTCTCATATTCTCTTACATAAAACTATTGCAAGACTTAAAGGACAGCAATAAAAGCATCCCCACCTAGAAGAGATCACTTTAATCTTTCTAGTTTACTGCAGTAAAAGAACAACACAGGAAGCAATGACATGTTAATGTTGCAACACTGAGAAGTTATAAAGTTCAACTCTTGGATGTAAGCCAGAAAAACTCTGCCTTGTCTCTGAGGCAGAAGTACATATAAACCCCAGCTTTGGAATATATTGCAGAAATCTGAAATTAAAAGTTTATGCAGCAAAAGGTCTGGGGAAAGTTTCTTATTTCATAACACAGAGAGTCTTGGCCTATTTGCAATACTATGATAGGTGAATCTATGGTCTAAAGCAGTGGTTTCCAACCTTTGTTACTTGGATGTTTTTTAACTTTGCAATACTGTACTATGATAAGTGAATCTATGGTCTAAAGCAGAGCACATCTGTCTCCTCTGCCTGCAGTGTGGCTACAAAAAAACAAAAACCAGGGACTTGGTTTATTTTACAACTTTGAAAGTTTTCAGGAGAGAGAAAATAGACCTCTATTGTCTGGGCCTTTTTTTAAAGAACAACTCAGCTGAGATTAAGATGGACAAATGGGATCTGCAACAAATTCTTACAGTGTGTCCCCAATTGCTAACAGAAGTGCTTCTGTATAAACTTCTACTTGCCTAGGAAACCCAAAGTACGTATATAGAAAACAGTAGCTCTGGACTCATCTTGAGTCCATGCATTTCACAGCCTGTACTTTTCCCTTTGCTTAATCCTGACAAAATAATTTAGAACAGAAACTCTGCAATTTTTCTGTTCAGCACATAGCATCACGGCTAATTAATGTATGATAGAAATATGGGCAAAGAACAAAACAACAGATACAAAATTATCATTGAATTCCTCTCCCTCCTAAGCACCCCTCTAACTTTATGCAAGCTCTTCCAAACCTAGTGTTGTCCAGGTGTTGGGTACAATTTCCATGTTCTTCAGCCAGTAGCCATACTAACCAGTAGCCATATGGGACTTCTATTCAAAACATCTGGAGGTCATCAGACTGGAGAAGACTGTTGTGTGCAGTCCTAAGAGGATGGATATACTAACTATTCTATCTCTACTACTATTTCATTTTTGGGCTATTTGAGATTAATTCAAAGGCCAAAAAGGGACACTAATGTTCTCTGGCTGGCTGCTTCTGCTCGTCACAGCTCACATCAATGCAAACAGCTCATCAGGGGCACCATGTAAAAGAGCTGAAGCTGTCAAAAAAGGTAGGAGTCTCGCCAGCATAAAAAGGGGGGGGGGGCAGTTACTGCGAGCAGTAACTGCAACTTGAACAGTGCTTTGAGAATTAAAACACCTCCCTTTATTATTTTTATTAAGCCATTTAGAAATTTAAATCCAGATTTAACGATGTGTAACCATCTCCCCTAGAGAAGATGGAATATTGCCATCCAGTCGCCAACCGAGGAGCTGCTCCGACAAGCTGAAGGTCTGGGCCTTGCCTCGAACTCGTTCCCCCGAGCTACTACGTGGAAAAGGCATTCTTCATATGCTCAGAAGCAACCCTTTCGCCACGTCACGTACCCTGGACTCAGTTGGACGCAGGAGCCTCTCCCCAGAGTCTGACCCACCATTAACTTTGACATTTGATACCACCGCCCCCCCCCTTGCCTTTGTCTATCCTGCATTCACTCACTTTTGCGCCCCAGTGGCTTTCCGGCGAGACGCTTGGCGGTTCCGCCATCTTTCCTCCGCTCTAGTTCACGATCATACGTAAGCCGGATGTTGGCCAATCAAAACTAGGGGAGGGTAACTTCCTGTTTAGACGCAAGGGATGCTAGGAAATGTAGTTTTTCTAACAGCTGAGCCTCTTAGGAAATCTTTTGCTTTTTTAGGGAACAAATGCAGCAACTATTTGAAAGTCTAAATACGGCGGTTTCCTGGTTTTCACTGAGAAGCTTGTTAAAAATGACCCTTCCCCCAAGAGGACGTGAATTATCCTGAAAAAGCCAAAGTTTGTAAGAATGGTGTGACTGGAAGCTAGGATGTCCAGCCTCCCCCATGATACAGAGAAAGAGGAGAAAACAACTAAAAACACTGATGTATAGGCAGGCCTTCCCAACAGAAAACTCCTGACGATCCTTCCTTTTCTATATCTTTCTTTGATTTTTATCTTAGTTTAGGTGTAATGTTTTTAAAATTATATTGTTCTTTTTTATTGTAAGCCGCCTAGAGTGGTCTAATATGTCCAGATAGGTGGGATAGAAAATAAATAAATAAATAAATAAATAAATAAATGAGTGGAGTGGAGTGGTACCATACCCTGACCCTAACTTGTAACACTCCTGCAATGTTGCCTTGTCTTGTTTCTCCCTCATTACAGATTAGAATGAGGGCAGGAATCTGCAACCGCCCCCATGTTTAGGCTTACTACTCCCGTAATCATGTTATCATGCACCATACATACTCAGAGGAGTTGATGCAAAAACATTGGTGTTTAGTTCCTTTATTAGATCACTTAAACATTTTCACCAAGGCACTATTATGTCTTTTGGGGGATTTTAGCGTTTAGTGGATCTAATGAGAGTTGTAAGCCAAAACATCGGGATTGCCAAAGGTTCCTCCTTCACTGACAGCAACGTAACTGCCCATTGGACCTGCTTCATACTTGAGAAAGGTACGAAGTTTTAGCCCCAACACCCAAAAAATAAGGATCACTCAGGCTTGCAACGACTCTGTAGGGCCGAATTGCCTCCTCAGATTCCTTCCCAGTCAAATCTAGTTCTCAGGTACAGCGGAAGCTCTGCCTCGACTGACTTGCCAGTAGATGGGTAGAAAGTTTAGAAGACAATGGTTGCTGTGGGTTTTCGAGAATACAGTTTAGGCAATGTTTGTCCTCCATAAAATATTCCACAAAAAATAAATGAGAACTTTTATCTTTTCAGTTTGTTTTGTCTATTGCTCAGACAAAGCCAAAGCCAAATTTATACCTTTTTTAAAAAAATAGTTCGTCAGCACACACCCCTCACTTCTAGCCCGGAGGAGAGGGGGAAAAATAACATGTTTTCCTGGAAAAGGAAACATTCTACATCTTTTCATAGGTCTATGTTCAGTGGAGTAACTACGAGAACCGGAAGGACGGTTTCCTGTGTTTACGCGTCGTGCTCTTAGGCGAGAGACCTCATGGAAAGGAAGCCCGGAAGTATTTGATCTTAGAGAGGAGGAGGAGGAGGAAGAGGAGGCGGCGGCGGCGCCTGGGAGGGCCCGGTGGAAGGGGCGCCATGGCGGACCCCGCGGAGGAGCTCGCCAAGCTCGAATATCTGTCCTTGGTCTCCAAAGTCTGCACAGAGCTCGACAACCATCTGGGCATCAATGACAAAGACCTGGGTAAGTCCTATGGCGGGGAGAAGAGGGCTGGCCTCTTCCGTCTTGGGTGACCGAGAGAAGAAATGTCTAATAAACTAAAGAACCAGCTGTGTTCGTCCCTGTCCGCATCTTGGCATGATCCTGCGCTCCCACGGGAATAAGTAAAGGCGGCATCCATCGCCCCTCGCTGTGTCTGAAGGAAGAGAACTGAGATCCACGAAACCTGACATTGTGATAAATCTGTTAATCTTTGAAGGCAATCTTTTGCCTTTGCCCCAATTTTCTTGTGGGAAAGAAGGAATTGAAGTATATGTAGTTATTCCCAAGAGCCTGATAGGCTCGTGTGTGTTTTGTGAGGGGTAGAGGGAACAGCTTCTAAATCTTCACTGCTTTCCCCATCTCTCTTCTGGTATTTTTTATGTTCAGAGTGGAGACTTCTTTGGGTGAAGCTGAGGTTCTGCGCTCACCATTTCCAATCTTTGTCTATGCCTTTGACTGTGGTCTTCTATGCTGGCCAAATGGTAGAGTATTGCTTTGTCTTAAAGGTGGCCGTTAGCTGTCATCATTATTGTACTGGAGATTTGGTCTCTCTCCAGTGATGATGGGTTGCAGAGCAAAGCGTTTTCTTTTTAAGTTAAAGTTCTTTGTTTACATTTTGTTTTATGTTTTGAAAGATGTTTAAGAAGTGCCATTATACAGGACCAGACCAATAGACCATTTTGCTCAGCCTATAGGCAAAATGGTGATGTGGAATATTTTATATTGGAAAATTTCCCATTGCTCTCAGTGGGAATTTGATGTAGCACAGATATTTTTGCTACACATATTTTTTATAATTTTTTAGTCACTCTAATAAATATACTTCATCCAAAGTGTAGATTACACATCAGGACAGTCAAATCTTTTGGCTACCTATTTATGTAAATGGTACCTTTTAATGATCCCCACAGGCTTTACTGTCATCTGTAAAATGTGAACTGATTTTCTTTTGAAAATTGGTGACGGTTCCCTCATTTTGGTGGGAGTAAGAGACAGAGGCGGTTTTGAAAGTTCAACAGGCTCAACTTTATTAACAGCAACTTTGGGATCAACTAAATTAAATGGATCGAAACAGCTAAGTTCTGGAATTGTCTTGTAACATAAGATCTTAGCCCCCAGCGTACATATGTCACTCCTCACATTGGGGCTGGATCAAAACACTTGCGGTGAGTTATCACCCTCAAGGGTTACTCCTTACTGTGCACACTGTCCCACAGCAGGGGTGTCTCACCCAGTCCCTTTCTGGAGGTGGATTGTTGTAAGAGGGACTGGGTCGGATCACTTTCCTCCCCCCACCTTGGTTGCGGGGGTAAACCACAACCGTCCATTCTAGAGGTTTTACCCCCTTCCTTTCAACTTTAGGCAAATCTGGGTCCAGGAGTAATCCTCCTCCTCTTTTAAGATTGGGAGAGTCCTTTCACAGACCTTGTCAGGTGCTTCATCATCTCTTTCTGTTTGTACCGCACAATCTTTGGTGCGTTTTCCTGTCTGGTCTGTTTCCACTCTAAATTCCCGCTCATCACCCCACTCTTTTATAACCTCCTCGCACACTATCAAACCTTGCTCCTCCCCTTTGTCCTCCTCCTTGTCTTCCGCCAAACACACTTGTACCGCCTTCCTTTCCTTTACTCCTTCCTCCTCTATTTCTATGAGCACACACTCTGCACATCCACACACTTCCTCCTGTCCACTCTTTGTTCAGGATGGCTCACTAGCTTCCTGTCCTTCACACCGATGTTTGCAATGTGATCTCGACTGCCTTTTCCTTCTCCAAAGGTATCTCTCACTCTTTAGAGTATAAAAGCCTCCTTTCTTTGGGATTGGGATTTACAGTATATCCAGGATTTCCTCTCCTTTCCAAGTTACTGGCTTCACAGACGTTTATGATTCATTTTGCTGCTTCATTTCTGACTCCTAAGCCAAATTTGCTAATAATGTTTGATTCTCCTTTATTTCATTCTTTTCCATTTTAGCTAACTTTGATTATTAGTACATTATTAGTTTTGATGTGTGATCAGTTTCCTTGTGGATACCTCCACAGCAGATTTCTGTTTCTTTTTCAGCATCAGTAATTGGAGCATAGGTGTGAATGATGGTTTGATAGGCTTCCCATGAATTCTGATATAACTTGGTCAGACTTTGCATTATAGACTCTGACCACTAGTGCTATGTTTCACCTCACTTTTGAGTTTCTCTTTTTTCAGAGTAAAACACTTCTTGTATTTTGTTTGTCTGAATAGGCCTTGAAGATGGCATGTTTCAGTCCATTGTAGTTCACTGACCTGAAGTTTTGTGCAGCATTGGGCTTTCCTTTTGCTTATGTGCATATCAGCAATTAGGCTTTAATCAAAACTCCTCTCACACACCGTATATAACCCAGCTCCTCCCACTTCTGCACCACCCTCCGTCCTCTCATTGGCTGAGGTTCCTCTGCCCAGCAGTGACGGACAGGTGAGAGCAGAGCTGAACGCCACAACCACTAGTGTTATGTTTCACCTCACTTTTGAGTTTCTCTTTTTTCAGAGTAAAACACTTCTTGTATTTTGTTTGTCTGAATAGGCCTTGAAGATGGCATGTTTCAGTCCATTGTAGTTCACTGACCTGAAGTTTTGTGCAGCATTGGGCTTTCCTTTTGCTTATGTGCATATCAGCAATTAGGCTTTAATCCAGTTGCTTCATTGGCAACAGTACTATTTTTACTTATGCTTTGCTCTTCTTCAGTAGCTGATTGAATGCTTTTTGACCTGGGGAGCCTTAATATCAAGCGCTATTGCCTGTTTATTTTGAATTGTTTTTTCATATGGGGTTTTGAGATATAAAATACTTAAAAGTGGTTTACTTTTTTTCCCCTCTTCACCATTTAAAAGTGTTAACACGAATGCCACTGTACTTCTTTCTTAAGAAAAAAGTCCAGTTGCCATTACTCAACTTCCAGATAACCTCACCTGGATGACTGAGAATCTTCACAGATATGAATGGTACTGTTTATGAAAAATGGTTCACTAGGGTTACTTTCTGCTACTGCTGCTGCTCAGTAACTGTCCTTCAAAAATTTATCCACTATCAGTTCCCTTTTGTTGATGTTCTTGTTAATTCTTTGACAAAACAGATGCATTTGTGGAGTGAGTTAAATAATTATATATTTATATCACACTGAATCTGATACCACAAAACAGTTTTTTAAAGTGAATGAACAGAGGTGTTTCTTTGGGAGGGTTGTTTTGGTTTGGTTTTTGGTTTTGTTGGGAGATCCATGCCAGAATAATTGACTCAATCCAAGACATTAGGGCTTCATTCAGGCTTCATAATAAGATGGATTCAGGGAGGGAAACTCAATCCCTATCCTTTCAGGAGACTCTTAACAATGCAATCCAGCGTATGTCTTCCCAGATGGAAGTCTCATTGAATTCCATAGGACTTACTTCCAGATGATAGTGTACAGAATTGCAACCTAAGTCATATTAATAAAGGGAACCCCATTTTCAAAACATTGCAGCAATCAGTTCTTGTGACTTGCTGAGGGCTGGGCTGCATCTGTCCATTGGTGGTCAGCCATGGCCTAAGCCAATGAAAATCAGTCCTTGTCACAGAGGTTGTCTTGGTCTTCAGTGTCAAAACTGTATTCAAGAGTAGCCACAGACTTGCAAACATGGTCTTTCAGAGTGGGATGGGCAATCCAAGTATCACTTTGCACACTTCCCGTCCTCTGTATCTCCTGGTGTTGCTGCTGAAGCTCAGTGGCACCGGAGCAAAAAGCAGTGTTTCTTTTTTAAAACTGCAATTCCTTTTCAGCAAAGTGCATATTTAGTTTGCCTTTGGTGGCAAAATCAGCAATGCTATGCTATTTTATTTTCTAGATTCTTTGGGAATCAGGGAATGGCCCAGACCTGAAAAAACAACCTGCACTTGTTTTATGGGAAGTGCAACACTAAACAGAATGCATATATACTGCCTCTTTGAATCACATCCTCACACATTCTCTTCCTTTTTGGACTGAATTTTAATTTATTGCTCCATATCCTTTTCTGAGGGAGAGAATGAGATTGAGAAGATAGAGAAAAAGTGAAAGCAGGGTGTTATTGATGTTCTTTGCTCATTTAAGCAAGTTAATTTTCACTTCCTTGGTACTTCTTGGCATAAAGGTGATCAAACATGTGCTCCATATTAGTCTGGAAAATTTTGACAGTTACCAAATGATAACTTTAAAAATATATCAGCTTTAGCCTCATTCCCAATGAACTATACATACCCCAGATGTATCATTATTTATATTGTGCTGAAAGGATAAAGAAAAATATCTTCTGTTTTGTTGTCCTTTTTATAAAAGAAACATGGCTACAACAGACATTTTACAATTACTCTAGGACTTCAGAACGGGGGTGACCAAAGTATGGAGGATGGTTGTTAACATTACAACTCCCTTTCAACCCTAGCCAGCACAAACAAAGGTATAGAATGTTGGGAGTTACAATCTACCAGTATCAAAAGCTTTCTGCTATGTTCTCTCTGCTTTAGAATAATAAAAGTTACAGTGGTACCCCGCTTGATGATGATAATGCGTTCTAGCAAAATCGCGGTACAGCGAAATCATTGTCAAGCAGAAAAAACCCATTGGAATGCATTGAAAATCGGTCAATATGTTCCAGTGGGAGAAATACCTGATCGTCCTGCGAAGATCCTCCATAGGGCGGCCATTTTCCGATGCCTGTATAGCGAAAATAGGTCAGCAAAACAGTGGGGAGCCATTTTGCGAACCGCTGATCAGCTGTTTTTAAATCATCGTTAATCTAAAAATTGGTTCCCGAAGCAGGGAACTGATCATTGTGAAGCGAAAAAACCCTATTGAATCATCGTTTTGCAATCGCTATAACGATCACAAAAAACTCATCGTTAGCGATTTCGTCGTCAAGCGGAGTCGTCGTCAAGCGGGGCACCACTGTATTTAACACAATAATAATTCTGTCTGTTCTACAATGAAGGGCTGCCAAAATAGGGCTAGGGGTCAGGTTCCCATAATATACCCAGTAGTACGTCTGAGAAAATCCACTAAGTAATTACTTTTTTCACTGCTGTATTTGAAACTTCAAAGCAGTTTTTTTCTCCTTTTCAGTTTGGTTAGCTATGTGTGTTTGTGATGTATTGCTTGCTTGTATAATCTACAACTAATGGTTGTGCTTGAATGTCTTCTGTGTTGCATCTGCTGCCTGTTTAGTATATCTCTGTAGACCCATTTAATTTCCTCTAGATAAGGTGTTTAAGGATCAAGGTTTCTTCTTTCTCCAAAATAAGCCAGAATTTAAACTAACTGTTGTGGATGTATGAGTCACTTTACATTAATCCTTTCCCCTTTTATTTTATCCTTTTCTTGATCTGATCTTTTCACAGCTGAATTTGTGATAAATCTGGCAGAGAAAAACTCAACCTTTGATGCATTCAAGGCAGTCTTGATGAAGAATGGAGCAGAGTTCACGGTAAGCAACAGCAGCAAGCCATTTATTGGAAGAGTGCCTGTTTAATTCTTCTAATTGTGTGGATAGATCAGATTAAAAACATCTGTTGCACTGAAAAGTTCTGTTTCCTTTTAAAAAAGAACAATTCTTAACCTTATATTTCAGGATTCCCTCATCAGCAATCTGCTGCGTCTTATACAGACAATGCGGCCTCCTGCTAAACCTTCCACTAGTAAAGGTAATTTGTTTTCTTTCATATATCCATAATCCCCCTGAAACATGTAGACAGAACTGTTAAATGTAGATAAAGGAGGCTGAAGGATGACCCAGCAGCCACAGATTTGGGTTAGAACCAGTAGATGGCTTTCATCTGTAAAATTCTGGAATACATGTGAGAACAAGCAAACGAGAAAACACACTGGGTTCAAATAGCTAAAAAGGGTAATCCAAACAAGACTCTGTTGGGACTCACAATCTAAATAAGCAAAGTTGGTAGTGCCACAGCTCTAACTGTCCTTAGTTCAGCAAACTCTGAGCTGCCTATGATGTGGTTTTGCAAAAGTTTTGGGGCTACCAAGATCCATGCAGTTAGTTTCTTAGTGTCAGTAGACCTCTCCCAGTCATTCCCAGGATCTGAACTGGCAGAAGAGATACCAGCACTTGTCTGCTTTAGAGGACAATTTGTCAGTGGCCCTTTGCCTTTTCAGTGGGTATGTGACACAGCATGTCCAATACATTTAGATTGAAAAATCTGATATTTTTCTTTCCTTGGAAAACCATGAGCCGATATTTGTAACACATTTTGATTACAATTTGTTGGGCATGAGATAGCTGGATAAACTTTTAGCACATGGTTGTCAGTTTTCCATTTCTTGGCAGAATGGATAGATTAGAATAATTTTTAGAGATCAGGATAGTGGATGTCTAATGGAGTTTCCCTGTAGAAGGACATTAGATTAGCAGGTGCTTTGATCACTTCCCAACGGTGGGATTGTGTAACTGGTAACTGCAGAGTTCCTCTCCTGTATATATTATCTCTCTTCTACCGTTCCTTCAGCTTACCAGTGTCCCGGCAATGGCAAACACAGGCAGGAAATGAAAACACAGCAAATATATTTGTTAAAATAAAAGTCTACTGAAGTAAAATGAAACCAAGACCCAAAACTCTTTGTAGTGAAAACATGTTTTACCTTGTGTGTTCTGTGTTTGTCTTCACTCTAGATGCCATTAAACCAAAGACAGAAAAAGAAAAGTTGAGAGAGTTGTTTCCAGCCCTCTGTAGGCCAGACAATCCCATTGTCAGGGTAGGTGCGTCTTCTTCTCTTGATGGGAGCTGTCAAAGTTCTGAGGTTGGGGCAAGATTTGTGCTCAGAGAAACGACAAGAAAGCAGAGAGATTGAACAAGAGGTGTGCGAGTCAGGCAGGGGTGATAGAACACAGCAGCATTGCGGTCTAGAAAGAAAACAGTGCAAGACAGTTGGTTACAGGAGCAAAGGCTGGAAGGAGAAAGTTTATAGGAAATCTGGGATGAAAGTCAGGCAACTCAGTCTCGGGGTGGAGTTTACATTAAAACCAAAATTCATTACTTCTGAGCAGTTATGTGGGTTTTCCGGAATCCTTGGAATTAGAAAACTTTCTGCTGCCCCAAACCAATAGAAATCTATTTTAGCATATTAGTTTGATGTACATTTAATTAAAAAAAAAACATGGTCCACTTCATGAGCTGTGCAACTATCTGCAAAGCTCTTTAAATAGCCCAAAATAGTTTGAAATGAAATACAGTGGTGCCTCGCTAGACGATTGCCTAGTGGAACGAAAAACCCACAAGACAATTGGTTTTTGTGATCACTATGGTGCCTCGCAAGACTTTTTTTCTATGACCGTGCTTCGTAAGACTTCTTTTTGAGACCAATGCTTCGCAAGACTTTTTTTTTTTGAGACCGATGCATAGGGAACCTCACAAGACGATTTTTTCACAAGACGATTTTTGCGGAATGAATTAAAATAGTCTTGCGAGGCACCACTGTACTTGGGGGAGATTTTGTAATGCACTTCCAGGAACTTTACTTGAAATTTATTTATATTGTAATTTTTGTAAATGCTGTAAGTGATGACAAGTTAATAAAATACACATCCCTGTCATTAAATGTTAAAGGAAATGTTTTTGAAAAGAGCACACAACCTAATTTGAGCATGCCTGAATATCAGGGAACCGTAATACATACTTCTACAGGTGGTCACCTGAACAAAGTTAATTCCAAACTTAGTTTATATTTGACTGTGGTTGCGGCAGTACAGCTGCCTAGTTTGATTTGTATTGAGTTGTGCTCATTTGTCATTTTACTGTGTTATGAACCAGTATATTTTTGAAAGCAGAATCTGCTTTGTAGACACTTCATTTATCACCTTTCTCAAGAATCAACTTCCTAGCTGCTTCTGCTATTTTTAGACCACATGAAAATAAAAAGCCAGTGTCAGAAAGAACTCTGCCACTGCACAGATGTGGGAAAATGCTTAAATTTTATGTCTCCTGCTTATTCAAGGTTGTTCTTTTTTTTTTGTCCATGCAGACAATGCTGGATGAAGATGATGTGAAGGTGGCTGCTGATGCCCTGAAGGAGCTGGAAGCTTTAATGCCAAGTGGAGTCAAGCAAGAAAAACATCGGAGCAGTGAGGACCAGTATGTCTGTGTGATAAGGAAACTTTTTTTTAAGCATGTGTGCTCAAAAATCATATATATCTAGCTCTCTGCTAAACCTTGCTTATCTTGGTTATAGATATAGCTTGGGGGACTGTGTAAAGTCAAGAAAAGATGACATTTTGTTTTGTTTCCATAAAGAACTCATAGTGTTTCTCCTGTTATCTACTAACTTACGGTGCCATTTCAGCCTCTGCTGCTGTTGGTATAATATTTCATGATGGCACAGAGAAGATGTTTCATATTTAATCAGCTTAATCTAGCCTTCACCAACCCATTACTCTCCAGATTTGAACTACAACTCCTATCATCCCCCAACTAGGAGGATGTGGCTAGGAAATGCTGACAGCTATAATCTAACACATCTGGACATCTTAGGTTGGTAGCGGAATATTAAGCCAGGAAAATATTTGAGAATGGCAGTTATATTTACTAAGTTCTTATATTTTATCTTTCTCCAAAGAATTCAAGATGGCATGTATGATTTTCCCAGTTTAATAATTCTTTCTGTAACAATTCCCCCATCCTTATCTTTTCTGATTTGACATCCTAGCTACTTTATCATATTGAAAATTTCTCTATGCACTGTCTACAAACTAGACTTGTTTAGATAAGCTGAACTTTGTCTCAGAAATTATGTTCCACTTGCTACATTCTAAAATGTAATTGGCCTGTGGATCCCACTGGTTGTGAAAAGTTGCTAGAACAAGAGGCAAATCTCCCCAGGTGGAGAATCACAGAATTGCAGATTGACTCAACTCCCTTGACAGCACAGTATTCTGAAGCGATGAATTGCTCCTGCCCAGCCAGACTGGCTTTTGAGTCTTCCTGGACAAGAAGGTTTATTTAAAGTTTCCTCTTTTACTCTGAGCACCAAAGTCTTCCAAGCTCTAGTGCATTCAGTAAGGATGCAGGATTTGCCCCTAGGTCGTAACTAGGGATCAGTCTTTCTTTTGGATTGAAATTCCCAGAACTCACTAGGAATTCCCCCAGGTAAAATCCTGGGAGTTGCCGCCCGAAAACAGTAATTCATCCTCTTCATCAGAAGACATCGGGATTGCAATTGGGCTAACTCTTACTGATTTTTCAATAGCAGTTGATCATCCTGCCTTTTCAGATTACTTTCCCAGAGATTTATAGTGAGTCATTAAGTTAAGCAAGTATACCATTCTTGTTGTGTGAACCTGGGTGGAAGTGTGAATGAAGTAGTGCAGAAAATCCACTTTGTTCAAGGGTTCTTAGATCTGAAGTCTGGAGGTTTCTTCAGGTGTGATCATCTAGCAAATGAGACCCCACTGAACTCCCCCCCTCCAAAAAGTGTTACCAGCCACAAAGAGCAAGGTTTAAATGAATAAATGGTAGTGTGAACTTTCTATTCACATCCTCTGCATGCAGTAGATTTTTGTAAACTGTAAGGACTATTGAGAACCGTAACCGCATCCATTAACTGTAGTATTTTTAAAGTGGTATTTAAACAGAGAGGACATGAATGAACTTTATATTTGCTATTGTTGTTAGCTCCAGGAAAAAACGTAGAAGTCGGAGCCGCAGTAGAGATCAGGATAGAAAACGAAAGCGAAAATCTCGATCTCGCTCTCGTACACGAGAAAGGAATAAGGGTAAATCAAGGTATCGCTCCAGGAGTAGAAGTCCCAACTATGACCGCAGGGAGAGGGAGAAGCCCGGGGAGAAAAGCAACGAGCGATGGAGGGATAAGCATGTGGACCGGCCCCCACCAGAAGAGCCTTCCATTGGCGACATCTACAATGGCAAAGTCACCAGCATCATGCAGTTTGGCTGTTTTGTCCAGCTGGAAGGACTGAGGTATCAGATGCAAGGTGTTTGCTACCTTTTTAATTTCCAGCTACTGCTGATTTCCGCAATTGCAAAACAGAAGCCCAGAAGGCATTGAATTGTATCAATCACTGTATTATTTTACCATATTGAATAGTATAATTTGGTGCTTTACCAGCCGCTGTAAGGCTGTCATCAAGAGCAGTGTTTTTGAATGCACAGAAGTTCAGATTTTTGTATCACTTTACTGCTTCAGTATGGACATGTTTCTCGACATGTTTGTATTTCAATTATCCTGCATTTGGGGCAGATATAAAAGAATACTCAACTGGTGAATTTGAGCCTAAATGAGGAATATGTTTTTATTTTACATTTCACTTTTAAGTTTGTTTTGATTGATTCCCCTTGATCAACTGTTCTGTGTGAGCTGAAGGTTCATTTTCCAAGATCTCTCATAAAATTGCATAGATTTATCTGACCCAGTTTTCTTTCCTTGGTGGAGGTTATGCAGGAGAAGGTTATTCCCACCCACATCCATAGAAAGAAAAATAAGTCCAGTTTCTGGAAACTTGCAGATGTTTAGCATTAGAATCCTGTACTATTTGTCCAATTTTAGCTATTTTACTGCTCATTCTGATGTTTTTATGTGGGTGGAGTTGCCATTTAAAATACTACAAAGTTCTTACATAATGTACAGCAGGTGTTCACTGGCTCATTCTCAAGCGGTTCTTTCCATGTCCCATCCTGTTTAGGAAACGCTGGGAAGGACTGGTCCACATCTCAGAGCTTCGCCGTGAGGGGCGGCTCATTCTGATTCTTTTTATGTGGGTGGAGTTGCCATTTAAAATACTACAAAGTTCTTACATAATGTACAGCAGGTGTTCACTGGCTCATTCTCAAGCGGTTCTTTCCATGTCCCATCCTGTTTAGGAAACGCTGGGAAGGACTGGTCCACATCTCAGAGCTTCGCCGTGAGGGGCGTGTGGCTAATGTGGCTGATGTTGTGAGCAAAGGCCAGAGGGTCAAGGTCAAAGTGTTGTCCTTTACTGGCTCTAAAACCAGCCTCAGCATGAAGGTAAGGGGGACCTCCTCCATTCACTCTAGCCCCTGACCCTTCTGCTTTATCTGACACATATTTCAAGTCCTTCCTCTTTAGCTAGGGCATTCTTCCTGCTGCTCCTAATCTTTCCTTGCTGCTCCTTCTCTTTCTACAACTCGTTGGCTTTCCATAATAATAATAATAATTTATTGTCATTGTAAGTATATACACATACAACGAAATTCCATCACCCCGTCTTCCTTTTCCCATGTAATTTCCCAAGTATTACACATCTCTTGCATGGACCAGTGGATGTTCAGGGTATAGTACTTCACTAAATCCCTTTAAAGTTATCGTAATAGTGCTTTCAAGATAAGTCAGATATTTAAGGAGTGGTGTTATCGGATTCACCCCCACCTGAGTGAATTTCTATGGGTGAGGGGGGATTTAAACCAATGTGTATTCACTCCTAGTCCATCACTATACCACACTATACCACACCAGGTATACACAGTTTTCATAAGGGCATTGGAGTCCTTACTGGCCAGGAGTTGCTGCTATCCTTCTGCAATCCTCAGTAGCTCACTCTTTTTTGCATTGTTGAAGACTGATTGAGTCTTGCAATTAAAAAAAGGAGAAAAAAACCTTTTCATCTGCAGTACACATGGGAAGGCCTCAGGGGAAGAAAAACAGAAAAATTGGGGGGGGGGGACAGTTTTTTTCTAAAGCTGTAGTATATGGCTTCAAAATTTCCAGAAATTTTACATCTCTACCCTGCACTGCTATTCCAAGTTCTCTTGCTCATCTCAGGTTCAAGAGACAGTAGTTCTCAATACAGTTCTGTTCTACAGGTAATTTAACCTGCAGAATGCTTTCTTCTAATTCTTCCAACAGTTTTTGGGATGGAGGTGAGGCTTGGAGGGAATGTAAAGGGAAGTGTCTGTGATCTTGCTGTAATGACCGTCTTGATTCTCTTGGCCATCTGCTACTGTAGCAAGCACAAGAAGGCCACTATTTCCATGCCGAAGATTGTTTTCTTCCTGAGAACTCCAAGATAGAAACAGTGTCAGGCATGGAGTTTTTACCTCATTTGGAAATATGTTCTGCTGCAGGCCATTTGCAAGACCGGGCTAATTTCATTTTCTGTTTATAAGAGTGAAGTTTTGTTTTTCCCATTGTGGCATGCCAACCTATGACTTGGGTTTGCTGTAGGATGTGGATCAAGAGACAGGGGAAGATTTGAACCCGAACAGACGTCGGAACCTCGTGGGGGAAGCTGAGGAGACAGCCATGAGAAATCCAGACAGGCCCACTCACCTCTCCTTGGTCAGCGCTCCTGAAGTGGAGGACGATACGCTAGAACGAAAGCGACTCACTCGGATCTCGGACCCTGAGAAATGGGAAATCAAGCAGGTAACAATTTCTGGTTCAGGAGCACATTGCTGATGCTGTTCCTGGCACAAATGGGAGGTCTGACTCCAGATAAAAGCTTCATTCTGTCTTGGCAACTACATAGGCAAAGCCTTCTGACAGGATGGAAGGGTGCTGCTTATTCAGCTCTGGCCTGGCAATAATGTCTGCAAGCAGCGAAGATATTTTCCTCTAAATCTGCTGCTTGACTCCCTCCTCTTCCAGGCCCATTCCTCTTCCATCCAAGGGCCAAAGAATGCTCTTGAGGAGACAAGTCCTTGTGTTTGCAAATTTGGTGGCATCTACTCTTCTGTGCCCTAATGTCCATTTTTTGCAGGGTTCTGATAGAGCCAGTTCTTACTTTGTTGTTGTTGTTTGGTCATTAAGTCGTGTCCGACTCTTCGTGACCCCATGGACCAGAGCACACCAGGCCCTCCTGTTTTCCACTGCCTCACGGAGTTGGGTTAAATTCATGTTGGTAACTTCAATGACACTGTCCAACCATCTCATCCTCTGTCCTCCCCTTTTCCTCTTGCCTTCGCTCTTTCAAAACATCAGGATCTTTTCCAGGGAGTCTTCTCTTCTCATGAGATGGCTAAAGTATTGGAGCCACAGTTTCAGGATCTGTCCTTCCAGTAAACACTCATGGTTTATTTCCTTCAGAATTGATAGGTTTGATCTCCTTACAATCTAGCGGACTCTCAAGCGTTTACTCCAGCACCACACTTCAAAAGCATCAGTTCTTTAGCTGTCAGCCTTCTTTATGGTCCAGCTCTCACTTCCATACATCACGACAGGAAAAACCATAGTTTTGACTATGCGGACCTTTGTCAACAAGGTGATGTATCTGCTTTTTAAGGTACTGTCTAGGTTTTCATCGCTTTCCTCCCAAGAAGCAGGCGTCTTTTAATTTTGTGGCTGCTGTCACCATCTGCAGTGATCATGGAGCCCAAGAAGGTAAAATCTGTCACTGCCTCCGTATCTTCCCTTTCTTTTTGCCAGGAGGTGATTGGATCAATGGCCATGATGTTAGATTTTTTTGATGTTGAGCTTCAGACCATTTTTTCCACTCTCCTCTTTCACTCTCATTAAGAGGTTCCTTAATTCCTCCTCATTTTCTGCCATCAGAGTGGTATCAGCTGCATATCAGAGGTTGTTGATATTTCTTCCGGCAATCTTAATTCCAGTTTGGGAT